AGGGGGTAAGATGTTGCAAAGGGCAAGAGCCATGGCAGGGAGGGATCTTCTCCTGGAGCCCACCAACCAGAATTCATTGACTGACATGTACCCTCAGCATGTCTCCTCTGCCGGCATGGGTGGAGTGGACCAATACCAGTGGGGTGACATGGTTCCTTAAGTTTACATATCTCATTAAGCTAAATTAAAGCTAATTAATATTTTAACATGGTATGCATTTATTTATTTATATATTTATCAAATTTAGAAACCACCCCCTCACTCACAGAGGGACTCTGGATAGAATACAAATAAACAAAAGTGTCATCAGAAAATAACTAATAAAAATCTATATCTTTAGATAAATCACCAAGAATATAAAGACAGTTAATATAAATATCTAAGAATTAAAATTATGTGAATGATGAATAAATTGTCTATATATAACTAAAAATAATCCCCCTCTCATACATATAGTATATTTTTTAAGTTTTATTTTAACATATATTTCAAAATGCAACCAAATACAACTAAGAAAAGTAGAAAAAGAAACAAGAAGGAAATTAAACTAAGTAAAATTGGACAAGATTTGTCCAAGTAGATTATATCAAATTAGCAACACATGTACAAATAATAATAAACTTTCAAATCACTAATGAAGGGGTAACCAATGTCAAAATAATTCATCAGAATAAACAATTAAGAAAAATCTATCATAATGAATCAGATAAAATTCTAATATTTGAAAGACAAAGTTGAGAGAAACCAGAACATTGGAGATAGTACATTTGCAGAATTATAACCCATAAATAGTTTGTAGTAAAATAGAATTCTGTTACAATCTTGATTTTATTTTGACATTGATGTAAATTCTTACAGCTTTGACTACTATTATAGAAAAGTAGAAAGTCAATACTTAAGATTTGTTTTTAATCTATTATCTTTTAGAATATTTGAGCTTTATGATTCTCATCAAATGTGAGAAAATAAGGATTCAATCTGACATCTCCAAAAAATTTTAAAACATAAATTACCAAAAATCTTTTAATAGTTTTTTTTCCCTTCAGTGTAATATTTTCAGTTAATTTAATATTTATCTTCTACTGGTATTCCTATTATGATACATCAGTCCTCCTGTTTAAATTCTGCATCCCTTTAACCATGCAATATTGATATGTTCAGATTATTTTATAAATAATCCCCAACAAATGTGCTAAATTTTATATTGCAAGTTTTTGAAATTTGTTTACGTTTCTTGAGTGTTCTATCTTGTTCTTGTACTTTCTTTTGAACTGCACTACTTCTCTGAAGATAATTAACCAATGATACATTTCTGATCATTACAACAAGAGCTTCTCCAAATATTTCATTCTGGTTTTATTAAAGATTAAATGTCACAATCTATAACACGGGTCCCTAACGCCTGGTCCATGGACCAGTACCAGGCCAGCAACCATTCTGCACAAACAAGGAAAGCCCCATCCACAGGATGCAGGCGGCGCACAAAACCACGCCTCCTCCGGTCCGTAGAAAAACCACTTCATGTAACCGGTCCCTGATGCCCAAAAGGTTGGGGACCTCTGATCTCTAAAAATTTTTCTGTCATGATTCCGACTAATGAAACACTTCAAAGAACTTCCAGGCATGTTTATCCTAAAGCCTTTATTAACAGTGTAACAAATCGACGGCACATCATGGATGTTTATTCCAAAATCTGAATTTCTCTTGCTTGCGTCTAACTTTTCTTTCTAAACCCCTCCCTTATTTTGCAGTCATAAGTCACATCTTCCAATTAGCCCGGAGGACAAAGATTCACTTCCGTTCCTTTTTCCCTGGCTTTACCCTCCTCCCTCCTCTGCTCTGCATTAACTCTAAAAATACCAGAGAGTTTTGCATATTTTGTCAAAGCAAGAATATACAGTATTTGCAACGTTGACATCTTACACACACACACACACACACACACACACACACAAACACACATATACGTGGAAGATGTCAACGCTGCAATTATATATATATATTTGGTGAGAAGTCCATTTATCTTCAGGAAAATAAATATTTAGTACTGAAACAATGGTGCATGTCTGGCCTTATTATCTTTCTGCATTTATTCCCAAGTATCAGTATAATTATTGATCTCTTATAGATTGTGCATTTCTGTTTTTATCCAATAAAAAATAATTACGCAAGCTTTCTATGAATCTTACTTCATCAGTAGAAATAACCCAGCTGTATGTTAGTATGATCAAGTCTGTAATCCAAGTTAGAAATTGATCTGATAATTTGAGATTTAGTTTAGCCAGTGCACTTTGTTCTTCCATACCTTGCAAATCTTATTTTTATTGATTTTAAGAAATAATTCATCATAGGTTTATAGGCAATCAAATTATCACTTTGTCAATCACTGAAACAGTAAATTCAGTTTTCTAATAATAAAGCATCTTTTACCTTTTTATATTTTAAGGTTGTACATGGTGGGATTCTTTTATCCATTGATAGTGCAAACAAGAATATTTTTATATTATATCCAGAGTACATTTTTTTATCATTGCTTATTTTCTTTTGATTAAACTGTATATTAAAATACTCCGAATAGCTGAATTAGAAAGGCACTACAATAATATGACAGTAATAAAATGTATTTCAGGATATATAATCTGCATGTTGTACCTATTCAATAAAATATATTTCACATAGTTAATGAGATAATGAACATCTGAAAAACATGACAAACTTTGTAAACAATTGTTCATAAGACAGAAAGGATAACAAGTAATATCTATTATAATATTTTCATTACAATTTGGAAGGACTATTTAAAATGCTGTTTCTGCTTGGTTTTAGACACTATTCTGCAAGGTTCTCAAGTATTATACAATAGAGCACTTAGTATCATGCTGAGGGATTATTTACACACTGAGAAGATTTCTTAATCCAGTTAAAGATGCGGGGAACAGAATAATTCAAGTTCTAATGGGTTGCAAAATGGTAGCAATTCATCAGTGCCTTTTTGTGCAAAATTATTTGGGATTTCACAAACTTTAAAAAAAACTTTTTAATACTGAACAGAGATGGATAGGACTAGTTTATGGAAATGAAGTAACTAATCTGAACTGGTGGCATAGTAAATATCAAGTCACAGTATAGTAAACGTTAGAATACTTAAAGTGAGATATACAGTGGTTCTTTTTGATAAATCAAAAAATGTTATTCCTGTTCCAAAAAGTGTTATTCCTACTTTTTTTTTTAAAAAAAAAATGTCATTAGCAATAATTTGGATGTATCATTAGAAAATCTCACAAGGATGTGAACACTCAGCAGTAACCTTTCATCTATATTTTTGCCTAAAGTTAATAAAATACACAAAAAGAAAATCATTGTAAACTTTTGGATATTAGTGTTTCAGGTAAAGTTATATGAAAAACAATATGCTGTATGAAACATATTTACAAGAGTGGAATTGCATGTCCTGAGCCTTAATAGCCTTTTTAAAAAAAATACCGTAAATTTAAATTTTCAGTGGTAGATTTTAAGAATTTGACTACAGAGTCATAAAAAGGGAATTCATTAAATTTGTATGTCACCCCGAGTCCATGTTGAGTTTGATGTCCTTAATAGTCTAAATTATATATACATATACATAAATATAGGTAGTCCTTGGTTAACAAAGGAACCAGAATTTACCTCGCTAAGCAATGTAGTTGTAAGTCACAATATCATGTGACCATATCGCTTAGTGATGGTGATCCCAACAGACCTTGTAGCAATCATTATGCAAGGATTGCTGTTCAGAGAGTGCCAGAGAGCTCACAAGCAGATCAGCATAGAGGTAAGTGTCTATTGCCAGGCAGGGAAGAGTGTTCAGGTGGCAGATATGGCACAAATATAGCATGGGTGACTGCTGCCAGGTGGGGGAAAATGTAAGCAACTTTTGGAGTGACTTGTGACATTCCCTCAACTTTCCCATTGATTTTGTTCATGGGAAGTCATCAGATAACATTGCAACTATCATATGTGCAAGCCAGTTGCCAAGTGCCCAGATCACAATCACATGATTACAGAAGTGTGAGACAATTTGCATGTATGACTTTTAAGGACCAGTCATATTGCTCATTCAGTGCCATTGTAATTTTAAACAGTTGCTGAATGAGTAGTCATTAAATGAGGATGACATATACTAGCTTTATTTCGCTATTATTTATAATCTCCCAACTATTACATACATTAAGGAGTATAAAAATACTACAAACTCTTTGGAATTGGGTAATTTACTCTGCATCTCGGAAAATAACCATCAAATTTTAGCAGCAGGTCCTACTAAAAACATGATATGGCCTACTGCTAAAATTTGATGGTGATTTTCTGAGATGCAGAATAAATTACTTAGTTCCAAAGATTTTGTAGGGATCCTGGCTTCATGACTAAGGCAGAACTAAAGCTCGAGGTTTCCTGGTTTCTAGTTAGGTGCCTTTAACCACAACATCAAAATGGTTCTTAAAAACAACAGTTTTATCTATTTAGGAGACCAGCACAGTTTGACCTTTCATTGAGATGTCATCTGATGGAAAGTTAATCAAACAAATCTGCTAACAATCTTTCTTTCTTCTAATACCAGTGGAAAAACATATCACAAATATGAATGTCATTAGGAATAATGTAATAAAATATATGTCCAGACTCTGATTGAAATTAACAATTGAAATGATTATTTCCCTTGCTAGTTGTTCTAATTGTTTGATTTTCTCTGAGATTCCATTTGAATCTGTCCTTGAAATAAAGTAAAAACAGATCTTTACCTTCTGTGTAACATACTTGCACATTCTTGAAAAGTGCTATTGTGCATTGGCTTCTTTGCTGTCATTTTTCTTCTTGCACCCCACTAAAATTAGCTATTTGTATAGAAGCACTGCAAAAGTCTATAACACTTACTAATGAATTATTTGTGCAAAGATTGCAATATTATGTTTGCAATACATATGTTTTAATATAAGAAATATACATATTTATATTCTTGGTAGGTCACAGTAATGAAAGGCAGCAATAGGAATAAAGATCACTCAACAGACGGAGAAGGAACTGGAAAACGACCAAAGAGGAAGTGTCTTCAGTGGCATCCACTACTTGCAAAGAAAATTCTTGACTTTTCTGAGGAGGAGGAGGAGGAAGAAGACGAGGAAGATATTGAAAAGGTAAAGTTATCCTTTTGAAAAGTAGAATTAAGAATTACACCCCTTAGTGAGTTGCAGATCTTCTCATAAGTCCTCAACTTATGACCACAATTGAGCCCAAAATTTCCGTTGCTAAATGAGGCAGTTAAGTGACTTTTGCTCCATGCTACAACACTTCTTGCCACAGTTGTTAAGTGAATGACTGCAGTTATTAAGTTATTAAAACTGTTGTAAAGTGAATCTGATTTCCCCATTGACTTTGCTTGTCAGAAGTTCGCAAAAATTGATGAAATGATCCCTGGACACTGCAACCATCATAAATATGAACCAGTTGCCAAGCAACTGAATTTTGATCACATGACCATGGGGTGCTTCAGTAGTTCTAAGTGTGAAAAATGGTCATAAGTCACTTTTTTCAGTGCTGTTGTAACTTTGAATTGTCACTAAACTAATGGTTGTAAGTCAAGGATTACCTGTTTTAAGAAATTAAGCTCATTTATAAATAGCTTTTTTTCATATCAGAGCTTAAAAATGGACTGTGTGCTCAAGTAAACCATATCTTTAATGGTGTTTTGAAGAGCATTTTATAAGGCACATACTGTTTTTGAAAACTAAGAAGATATTTCCTGAATCATATTGTGGGGTTTTGACTACAACAGATGACCACATTATTCCTCAAACTATATTTGATTAACATATGAAAACAGCAGACCGTAAATTCCTCAAAGTCTTTCCCTTGAAGTTGTGCCACCTTCACCCAAATACTGCTATTAATATCTAAGGCTAAAGAGAACATATAAGCAGAGTGAATTTAATTTAATTTAAATCATTCAATTTAGGCATATCTGATTTTGAACCAATCTCAGCAAAAGCAATAGCACTTAGACTTATAACGTGCTTCACACTGGTTTACAGCCCTCTCCAAGTGGCTTACAGAGCCAGCACATTGCCCCCAACAATCTGGGTCCTCATTTTACTGACCTCGGAAGGATGGAACGCTGAGTCAACCTTGAGCTGGTCAGGATTGAACTGCTGGCAGTCAACAGAATTAACCTGCAATACTGCATTCTAACCACTGTGCTATCATGGCTCTTGGGGTATAGCAATGTGTACAGTTAAGCCAAATTTTTAAAAAAACTACAATATAATTATGAAAGAAAAAACTACAACAAATGGTGTATCTGGCTAATCACATCCACACTATATGAAACTGGAAGCTACCTATACATTTCCAAATTTAGAATGGTATAGATTTTATTTTTATTCATTTAGTCAATCAACCAGATAGCTACCCATTGGACATGCATTGTATATTCAATTAAAAGAAAAACACATTAAAATGTAGCAAAATATATTTGTCACAGATAACTTCAAACAACCAAAAACAGAAACAGGCACAAAACTTTCTGAGTTACTGCTTAGTGATAGTCTTCAGAAAGGCAGGCAGGGGACATCTGAACCTGAGGGGGAATCTTGTTCAAACAAAATCAACAGCAGGCAAGTTATGTCTTGTGTCAGATAACATTGCTTAAGAGATGGAAGCTGGAGTAAGCCCACCCATATCTTACTGGCTGAGGAAATCAAATACTGCAAGTATTGTACATGTGGCTGCTTCTAGAGATCATCTAGAAGCTTCACTTGGTACAAAAAGCAATGATCCAGAGATCCAAAGGTACCAATGTGTACATACTACAGTTTAAAGTGTTGATTGTAACCTATAGCTTGGCACCTGGTTACTTTCAGAACAATCTCTCCATTGGCATAAGTCAAACTACTTTGGTCATGTTGGGAAAGCATCTCATTGTCTCCCATTTTGGGGAGTTTGATGGACAGAGACTTAGAGACCTTGTTTTTCTGTCGAAGTGCTGACTTTCTGCAATGGTCTCCTGCCTTGGTGTATTTGACACCAATTCTACTTGTCTTCCAGATATATTTAAAAATAGACCTTTTCTAAAGGGAATTGGGGAGCCGATGCAAGATAGTATCTGAAATGTATGTTTGTGCATTTTTTCTGTTGGTTTTTGTATTTTTAATTTTTTATTACTGTTTTTTATGTTCTGAACAAGCACCAGTGTACATGTGAGGATATAAATGATAAAGAAACTAGGACATTGTAGAACAGGGGTGTCAAACTCAATTTCAGTGAGGGCCGCATCAGCATTGTGGTTGCCCTTGGGGGGCCGGGTGGGTGTGACCAGGGTGGGTGTGGCCCACTGGGTGGGCATGGCCAGCTCTACATCATTTGTGTCAAGGGTTCCTGTGGGGACCTGGGTAGGAGTGGGACAGATCTGAGGGTCTGGCAGAAGGGGGTGGGACCAGGGCAAGTGCCAAGGCATGGTCTACTGGAGGAGCCTCACTGTTTCTCTCAGGCTATGCGGGAGGGCTGGATGGTGGTGTGGGCTGCCAGGAGCCCTGGACAGCAGAGGTCAAATGCCAGCCTGGCCCTCGAGCACCTGCGGCACCAAGCCCAGCCCCACTTCCCCAAGGAGACACCCAGCTGCACTTACCTCCTCCTCAAGGCTGCTGCTGCTGTGCGTGCTCTCCTTACTTAGGTTGCTCATGATGGGTACGAGGGCAAAGTCAGAGGGAGGCCCATTCCCTCTCCATGGGAGGAGAGCCGGCTTTGTATCCAAAGCTTCCTTAGCAATAGGATGGGAGACCCCCAGGATAGGCCAGGAGGAGGGGGCAAGGGGATGGTGAAAGGGCAGCAGGGCAGGACTAAAGCAGGACTTCCCTCAGACCCTCCCTCTCCTTCTTTCCTTCCTTCCTAAGTACAGAGTGGTGGGAAAATATTTGAGATGAGGGAGGGAGAAAAACAGGCAAGAAATGCAGCTGGGGAGGTGTCACCCTTCATTAGGAATGAAGAAATGCACCATCACCTGGGAGTGGCCAGCACATGGCCCTCACTTACTTCACATATCTGGCTTCATGGGCTCTGGGGGAGGGGATGCCATGAGCAGTGTGAGAGTCAATGTTATCTGCGCAATGCCGTTCAGCCCCCAGCCTGCCTGGTTTTGTCAGGCAGTGAGGCATTCTCCTCACAGCACTGAGAGGTTGAGCCAGGCGGTGCGAAGCTTGCCAGCTTTGCACCTTGCTGCCTACTGAAACTGGGTAGGCTGGAGGCTAGGCAGCAGTGCACTTCTCATGGCGCTGTGAGGAGAGAGCGCCGCTGCCTGCTGAAACTGGGCATGCTAGGAACTGGGCTTTGGGATTTGCGCCGCTTGGCTCAGCCTCTCGGCGCTGTGAGGAGAGCGCTCCGCTGCCTGCTGAAACCCCTCCCCCAGAGCCCATCAAGCCAGATATGTTAAATAGGTGAGGGCCATTTGCTGGTCACTTTCAGGCGATGGTGCATTTCTTCATTCCTCACAAAGGGTGACACCTCCCCAGCATGCACCCAGGGGGTGGGGCCAATGCGGCAGGGGCTGGTTCCTCACTGTTTCCAGACGGCCTTGTGGAGCTAAGACTGAATGCGTTTCAGCATAGATGGCCATCACAAAATTGTACATTGGCTCCCGGCCGACCAGGCTCAAGGCAGCGGGGGCCGTTCCCTCACTGTTTCCAGGATGGCTTTGTGAGCCACATGAAACCACTTCGCAGGCCGCATCCGGCCCCCGGGCCTTGTGTTTGACATGTCTGTTGTAGAAGAATGTAGGAGTCTTAATGTAATTATTGTAGCTCTGAATGAAACATCAGGAAGAAGATTGAATGATAAAAGTTTGTAGCCTTTGTTGTCTATCGTCTGATGCTCTGAATATGGAAAATAAAATGAGCATCAACTAGTACAGTGAAGCATATAAAATTTAATAACATAATAGCCATCTGGTGAAATTCCTGTCCTGGATTACAGTGTAGTAGTTGAAGTTTGCTTAAGAGGATCAGAAGCAATAAACAGAGAAATCCAAGTAATGAAGTTGACAATATTGTAAAGAGTTAAAGTATATGGAAAAACAATAAAAGTTATATTGTTAGTGTCTGTTATCATCCACTCAGTCAAAGCAAATGTGGATGATTTGTCCAAAATCAAAACTGCAGATCTTTCAAAGAAACATGAAGTAATAGAGATAGGGAACTTAACTCTGACAATCTGTTGGAAGGGTCACTCATAGAGCTACAACACTGAGAGATGTTTTGCTGAGCCCTCCGTTAGATGCTTTAACTTGAATTCCTGCACTGTGCAGGAAATGAATTTCATTGTTCTACAAGTAGTCCTCAGTTAATGACCACTCATTCAGCAACCATTCGAAGTTACAACATTATTGAATGAATTGTACTTCTGAGTGGTCTTCAAAAGTTCCATTTGTCACAGTAACTCCATGGTCATGTGATCCCTTGGCAATCAGCTTACACTTATGACAATTACAATATCCCACGGTCATGTCATTGCCATTTGTGACCTTCCCTACTGGCTTCCCACAAGCAAAATTAATGGGGGAAGCCTGCAGTTTAGGTCAGAAGTTGTTCTGGTTAAGTCTTTCCCACCCAGCAACAGTCACCTTTGCCATGTCTCCCTGGGTACCTGCACACCTTCCTTTACCAACAGCAGCCATGCCTAGCCTGGCCTCACTCATTCCTCACCAGCCACCTGTGTACCATCTCACATCTGGCAGTTGCCATCCCTAGCCCTGCTGCACTTGTACCATACTGCCAAGCCTCCCCCATCTGACAGCAGTCACTTCCTGCCCTCCAGATTGTTTGCAATTCACCTGGACTTGCAACTTCCTGCCTGCTTTGCTTGTTAGAAGCCATCAGGAAATTGTGAACTTAATTGGCAGGATAGCTGTTGGTAAATTATACAATGATGTGGTGTCGTGCTTTATGACCATATCACTTAATGTAGTTCCTTTTAACATTGTTCTATGTTCCTCTTACATAGGTAAATAATTGATGATAATTCATCCTTGCCAAATCCTATTCTTCTTGTTAATATATTATTGTTTAAATTCTTTTCAATTCCCCGTAAAATATTGAGGAAGCAAATTTTAGCAATTATTTGTTGATGAAATTAGAATAGGTTATATTACTTTTTAATTCCTTCATTTCATCATTTAAACATGTTCCATTCAAACAGGTTAGTAACATAAAAAAATGGATTGCCTTTGAACAACCTGTGTACATACACACACATAATATATATATTGAAAAATGATAATTAAAATAGTTAAATGAGTTAAAGGGAAGAAAGAGAAAGGGGAAAATTTTAAAGAGATCAAAGAAATGCAATTGTATTGGATAGTAATACTTATTGCAAGGAGGAGGAGGAGGAGGAAGAAGAGGAAGAAGAAGAAGAAGAATCGCAACCTACATAATATATTTTTATATAATTTTCTTTATATATTGCTTCTAGTATCAAAGACTTCATACTCTTAAACTGTCTAAATGGAAGATTTAAACATTTTAGTGGACTGTTTTAAGGAAAATAAAGTTTTTTTCTTTCTGGGAAGGAGTTGCTGAGCCTGGATATAGACATATTCCTTTACTTGAAACTAGGTATCCGAGCAAATGTGGATGTAGCAAGAAGTCCTTCTCAGTAGCATTCTTTGTACATGTTATATTTTCTTCATTGTAAAATAGGTCCAGATTCTGAGTGCTGATGGTCTTGACCATGATGCTGATGAAACAGAAGATGAGGAATCTTCAGAACAGCGAGCTCGCAGACCAATGAATGCATTCCTTTTGTTCTGCAAACGTCATCGTTCCCTTGTCCGGCAAGAACATCCTCGTCTGGATAATCGTGGTGCTACTAAAATATTGGCAGATTGGTGGTCTCTTCTTGAACCTAAAGAAAAACAAAAATACACGGACATGGCCAAGGAGGTATACAATAACAGGATCAATATATTTATTTGATTTATGTTTCACTTTTTTTATTCAGGCAAACCATTAAGACTGAAAATTAAAAATCAAAGAATAATATATAAATTAAAAACTACAACTTAAAATTAACAGTAAAATAAGTGATAAATTTATGTAATAAGTAAAAGTTAAAAAATGGCAAACAGGGTGAAAACAAACAAATTCCACTCCTCGCTCTTTGATTTATTGCTCTACCCCCTTCGGCCCTTGCTTGACCTGTGTAGCTTGGCCCCAGACACCAAGACCCCCCCCCCAATTCTTATTTAGAGGAGATCTTTCAATGAAGTATTTTAGTAAGTATCAAAAGAAGGAATTGGCAATGACTGTGTGAGTAATGATCCAGAACATTTGGGAAGCATCCAAATACAATGCAACCAATACAAGATAAATACGTTAATAAGCTATATTTATTATTTGTTTTTTACATTTGCAAGAATATGATGTCCTTGAAAACATATCTATATTTTATGAGCTATTAAACTCCTCACATAGAGGTTCTCTTACCTTTGCATAGAGTTAATTTTTGAGAAAAATTTCAAGCAGGTGTTTTTGTATTAAAATGAAATATAAGTTTATGCTTAGGTAAGATGATTCTCCAGTTATTCAGGAATTAAATAGTTAATATCACTAAGTTCTCTTTCTTAACAGTGCATTTACAGGAGAATTTAGCATTATTTTAAAATGTTTTACTATATAATCCTGTATTTCCCTATTTAGAAATACATCTTAAAAGTATTTTGAATATAGAGCTGCAATTAAAAATTATCAATACCTATTTATTTCTGTGCCATCTTGCTAATTTATGTCAAGCAATAGTTTTCTTTGTTCTTTACCAATACCAGTCCTGAGCTGGCAAAAGTATTTTCCCAATTGTCTGATTCAGTAATAAAAAAAGTTATAAAAATAAAGTTCCATCATGGAATTAAAATGTGAAAAATATCCCCATTACCTTGTCTGCAATGAAGCAGCAGGGCTTTGGAGCTGGTTATTTATCTTCGTCATAATTTCCACTTATCTGACATTATTTAACATTATCCTATTTGAAGGTAAAAAGAGTTATAACATTTAATTGGGAAGACCCTTTTGATATAAGGGATTATTTATCTAAACTAAGTGATATCCTGCCCTTTATCCAAATAAGTTCAGGTAAAATTGAAAAGGTGTAAAATATATAAATTACTTTAAATTTTAAAAAGTTTATGGCAGTTAATGGTATTGTTGAGAATATTCTGTAATTGAAGAGCTACAAAGAAAATAACATCACTACTGTGTTTGCCTGAACATAATAAATAAATAGCAGGTAACATTGATACATTTTAAATTTTGCAGTGATTTTTTTATATAGGTAATCCTTGAGTTACAACTCTAGTAGACCCTTACAAGTGGTGACGACCAACATTAAGTGAGATGGTCTCACTTAACGATCCCTACCCCCCCCAGCTCTCCCTGATGCAGCTGTTGAACAAACTTGTAGGTTGTTAAGCAGAACACAGGGTCTGTCAGAGTAGGCCCTTGAAGGTCTAATGCAGTCCCAGTGCCTTCTCTGGATCTTCCAAGATCTCCATAACCACCCCTGATATCCTGTGGTCTGCTTGCTGCTCCTTGGGAGCCCATGGTTTTTTCCCCCTCCCAGGTTCCAGCCCCATTGTACCAGGTCCCCACATCCTCTTCCTCACTTACATTTTGAAGATTTCTGAGCCTCAGGTTGGGGAAAGACGACAGGTCATATGTCTCTGTGCCATGTTTTTCCTCCCAGAAGCTGCTGCCATTTTCAGGGCACCTGCAATTGCTTAACACAGTCTGCCCAGCACCGCAGAAAGCTTCTGCAGACCATCTTAAGGATTTGCAGTTACACTGAAAATGGCCCCTACTGGGAGGCAGCCACATGGCACAGGGATGCGTGGCCTTCCCTCCTTCTCCAACAAGGATGGGAGGAAGAGTGGTGGGATGTGGCAGTGTCCCTGCAGTTAGTTGAAAGGATGAATTATCGCAGCGGCACTGCAGTGGCCATAACTTCAAAACAGGATTGTATATGGCTTTTAGGGAGTCTTTGGCCGTTAGATGACTGGTCATATCTCAAGAACTTTCTGTAATGAAATTAGAAGCTGTTGATTAAATGGTTGACAATAAATAAACTAAAGAATCAAGTAAATACATGGGAAAAATGAGCAGTAAATTGCATATTAGCGATAGCATACTGTAGTAGGAAATTTATCTTTGATGAACAAACCCTTAATTCATGGGGCAGGAAATTATTGTATAATAGTCCTAGGAAAACTTGCAATTTGGAAGCTGTTAAGAATAATTTTTCTTTTAAAAATGAATACTGTGCTTCTAGTGATATAAGTCTAAAAGTAAGTTCCACATTTTCTATTGAAAAGAAACAATATGACTTAAGTGTTCAGCCCAGTAATGTTCATTCCAAGAATATGTAAGAAACATTCAATTAAACGTATAATTTTTATTCTTTATGCAGTTCAAGAGTACAACAGCAGTAATTAGCAACAAAAACTTACCATTGAGCCTTCTTAATATTTCTTTGTTCTACAGGAAGAAATATGCATAGAAAACAAAAGTTTGTACTTTCAGTGGCATTCCTTATTTTAAGGACATTTTGTCTTTGTTATGTGTGTAGGCATAACACATTTATTTCATTGACCAGCTCTCACTTCAGTATGCGTGGACTGCTTGTTTGATGGAATAGGTGATCTGTTAACCTAAAATTAATCAATTTTTCTTAAATAAATGTACTGTACCTTAGACAATTTATTTGTTTTCATAGTATAAAGATGCATTTATGAAAGCAAATCCTGGCTACAAATGGTGTCCACCTACAAACAAACCTGTGAAAACTCAGTCACCCACACTAACAAATCGGAAAAAGCTTTGGGCTTTCCCATCAGAAGCGACAAAAGATTTACCTACTCCCAAAAAGTTGATGAAGACAGAAGAAACCCCTCAGCTGAATTTTGCAATGGCAGGTACGTTTGTCAACGCCAATCTTGCAAGTTTACCAGAAGGATGATTTGAGTTGTGACTTTTACTTATTGAAATGAAAAACAAAAAAAATGACCAAGTTTCCCATTATTAAAACCTATCTAGTTTTAAAAAGGCCTATCTAGTTTTGCATTCCATTCACATAGTGTATCTTTCCGAGTCATCAGCATAATAGTAGCTTTTTTGTTTCCCCTGTTATTCAAAAGCTGTCCTCAGATATTAGTGATAAAACATACTAATTGCAAGTAATTGCCATTTGCTTAGTGAATTTGCCTAATCACTTATCACTGAACTCTTTGGGGAGGTAATTCTGTTCTTCTGCCCTACTCCTATTGGAGAAGACATAGAATGCCAAATTATATCAGCTTCTAAACAGTAAATAACTTGGAATAGTGTTTCATATGAAGTCTGGACAGTGCCAACTTGTTGGTTTTCAAGATCTGGTTGTTCCAAAAGCCATTTGAAGATTGGTTATATGTTTAGGTCTCCTCACTCCATAGGCAATTGTTAGGGCTAGGATTGTTTCCTGTGACTTAAAGGGTGATTGTTGTTAGGCTTAGACTTTTTTTAAAAAAACTTTCTGCTGTACTTTGTATGTGTGCATAATTTGTAAGCCTCTCAAAACTATTCTGGATGTAAATTTCATATATAGTAATAAAATATAAATAAATATCTGAACAATTTGCAGGTTGTATCTTTTCTAATATTTATTGGCCATAACAAATGTAGAATGATTTTTTTAAAAAAAAACTTATTGTGATTTATTTTTCTTAGCATAATGTTCTATTTTTTAAAGTAAATACCTAGTATTACCCTTGATTCTTTTTTTCACTTAAAGCAGTCAAAATAGCTCTATGATTGCTTACGTAGGCATACAAACACACACATACAAAACCTAACAGTTTTATTTAAAAAATCCATTTTTTCAACATATTTTGAGATACTTTCCTTCTAGGTTAAGGTATGCAGTTATTACAGGTTACTTCACTATTAAGCTCCAGATGTTTAAGGCAATAGGTTTGCCTAAATGTACTTCAAAATAAATATTTTGACTAAAATGTTTCCATATATAATTTCTTTTCTATCAGATCCCACACAAATGGGAGGCCTCAGCATGCTACTGTTAGCAGGAGAACATGCCTTGACTGCACAAGAAGTAAGTAATTATCTTTACTGCTTAATTATTTCTTTAAAAAAGAAAAAGTGTTTAATAGGTTACATTACTACATAATGTATTCTCATACCTATTTGGTACATCTTTTGTCTTGGATTAGTGACACCATTTTAACATTTAAGAGATTTTTTTTTTACTGAAAGAGCTCATTATAAAATATCCACTAGTTCAAAACTGCCTTCTCCTCCTATATTTAGAGGATTGGGGGTATGCACAACAAGTGTGAGGGAAGGGAAGGCAGAGGACAATCTGTTGCATAGCTTTGATCATTTTCCTCAAAGACTGATATAGTTCTTTGCATTGTGCAGCATGAGAATTAAATGATTAAGGAAGTAGAACTGAACCTTTTTATATATGCAGTTACTTACAAGAGATCTGAAATCAAGAGAAAATTTTCCACTTAAGTTGTTAAAAAGGATATATGAACAACAATGAAAAAATAAATTCAAAGAAAATTTCTCCTTTTTCTTTGATGTACAAAAGTTTCAGAATGTTTCACATTCAAAATGTCTTGGTTTGCGTTTGCAGTAATTGTTGAAGCAAGAGTTGAATAGTGGTCAAAAAGTACATTTCAACCCAGAACAGTTGTTTAGAACTCAAAATGGGGCTTTTCAGAATTCAAAGGGTTAATTAAGAACCATTTTCAGATTCATTACATTTAATAACCAGTGAGGTTCTGAAACAAAATATGAATGTGAAGAGGTTTTTTTGAAGCACTGCTAGATACATTCCATTTCTATTCCTCAACCCATTGAGGAACCCAGCTATTTTTTTTTTATCTCCTCCATACAATTAGCCCACTTATTTTGAGGTATTTTATTTTATTTTCCTCCCCAATTGAGTAGTTCATAGACAAACTGACATTTCCACTTGCTGGGTTAGCTCTATATGGAGATGGACTTACCCTGAAGGATCAGATCAGCAATGTGAAGATTCCCCTAAACCAGGGCTGTCAAACTGCCGGCCCACAGGGCGGATGCATCATAGCGAAACCACACCCACCCCATTGCTGGCAGTGGCAAAAAAAGTCATGATACTTCACAACACATCACGTGATGTTGCGAGTTTGACACCCCTGTCCTAAACTCAAGCTGCAGATGGAGGCCATGGCTAGAGGAGCCTTTGCACACCTTCAGCTGCTGGACAAGGAAACTAGCAAGCCCTTACAAATCAGGCCCTTATCACCATACAGATAGAATATTCCATACTTCCTACCTGGAACTGCCTTAAAAGGTAATTGGAAACTGCTGCTGTTCAGTGTATGGCGGCTTGATGGCTGGTGGCAATAACCAGTTGAATAATAAAATGCTTGTGCTAAAGTTCCTGCACTTGTTTGAAATAGTTTTCCAGATCAAGTTCGAAGTACTAGTATTAACTTACAAGTCCTATGTGGCTTGAAATTAATTAAACCTGGCTTGCTGGCTTATTGTAAGTAATTAAATCATTTGTGTTTCAAGATTCATTTAGAAACTATTGTGATATCTGGCCTTTTTTTCTTTGAATTTTGGTTGATTATATTATAGTTACAATTTTTATTTTAGATGTTTATGGTTTATAGAAGATGGAGAAGCTAGACTTTTTGAATGCCTGCTATATAATTTAGTCTTTTTCATTTTCTGTAAACTATTTTGAGTCTTTGCAGGTGGCCATTATAAAAGCAAGTATTTTGTTTTTCTTTACCAGACAGTTTTTCTCCTTTTGTTTCTAAAGAATTTGTTATTTAAGAGAGCTTCTGTTAGCTGTTTGAATTCTGTGTTGACATTTGCAAATTACCATTTACATTGATCTTGGGAATACTTAGAACACTGCTCATATAAAGCAAAAATTGGATCTTTTTCCAACTAAAGCAATTAATATAGGTAGTCCCTGTTTTAACAACAATAATCTAGATCACTAATTCTGTTGCTAAGTGCTTTGGTAGTAAAGTATGACATCACATGCTTGTGCCAATTTATGCCAACAATTGTAGCAGTTCTGATTGCCATTATTTAGCAAATCCCATGCAGTCATTAACTGCAATGTCACATGATCACAATGTGCAACCTCTTCCTGGCTTCCCTGTTGACTGCTTCTTGGCAGCTGACAGTGAAGGTTAAAAGAGTAATCACGTGACCACAGCATGCTGTGACTATCGTAACTGTGAGCCAATTGCTAAGCACCCAAATTCCACTCACGTGACTGCAGGAATGCTGCAGTGGCCACTGCTACAAGGACCAGTTACAAGTGCTCTTCTTCAGCACAGGCACAACTTCAATGTCTGTATGACTGGTCATTAAACAAGAACAACCTATGGATGTTTTGTTATGCAATCTATCCATGAAATGGAGGCCTTCATCCATGATTTTGTGGAAGATTAAGATAATTTGTCAGCATGAATATTTTCTCTAAGCATTTATATCAACTTAAGTACAGGCAGTCTTAGGATTATGACCATTACTTCAGCGACTGTTCAGAGTTATGCCGGTGCTGAATGAGTGGTACTTATGACTCAAGTACTCAAAAGTTCCTGCCATCACAGCACCCCAATAGTCACATGATTGGGATTAGGGCAAAAGCAATCAGTACATATTTACAGTATTTATAATGTACTGCAGTAATGTGATCCCTATTTGCAACCTTCTCTATCAGTTTCCCACGAGCAAAGTTAGTGGAGAAGACAGCAGGGAAAATCACAAGTTGTTTCTGGAAATTGATCCTACTGCTTTTTCTTTAAGGAGCCCCACTGTGAAATAAGAACAAGATCCCAGATCTAATAAGCTATAGCACTGTTCTGCCAGCTTCTGGCCCTTGCTCACCAGCACATTGTACAGTTCAACCACAACCTCCAGCAAGCTACCCATACCCCTCCTGACCCACCCATGCTCTATCACACCTGTCCACAATCCCTTCAACCCACCCATGCTCTGTACCACCCACCTTGGCTCCTGCTGTCACATCCGCAGTACCCACACATCCCTGCACTCATTGCTTGGAATTCTCACCTCCTCCTGCTTAATGACCCATATGGTCCTAGGGTGACAATGGCAACGGGTATTGCTGTTGCTAAGCATTGCAGTCATGCCACATTGTGCTTTATGATCGCATCACTGAGTGACAGAAATTCCAATCCCAATTGCCTGAGGACTACCAGTACTGTAATGGTATCACAGTTCTATTTAGAAAATCATATTTCTACAACATTCTAAAAATTTAATTGGAAATTGGAAGGACTTCCTAAAAATCTCATAAATTGATTGCAGAGCAGTGCCTATTATTAGCATTTTTTCTAATCTATCCTAAACTTTAGTCTTTTTAATTACAAGAAATTAGGAGAGAATAGTAATAGAGTAACAGCAGAAGGAAAACACTTTTCCATTCTTAATTTTCATGTGTATTTCATTGGTAGAAATTAAATAGTATTGTATTTCATTAAGAATATATTTTGTGACAATTAAACTAATTGCAGATAAACTGTTTATCTGCTAAACAGTTTTAACATTAAAATGGATATTGACAATTACTAACTTTGCTTAGGTTCTTGTAAAAACTTGTAGCAAAAAGCTGTGAATGATTTAGAATGCTTTTTTTAAATATTTGTACCTCATAATGAAAATGAACAATTGGTATAAATATGTGACAAAATTTTTAAGTACAAATTGCACCTTTTAGGTAATAAAATGAAATATAAGTGAAATAAATAAATCAAATAAAAATGAAAGGTCTGATTGTTATTGTTGTCCATTTACTTTTATTCCTGAACCACCTTTCAGTTTTATGGTACGATGCTTGCTCTTTAGTACATTCATATACGAAAATCAGAAAGATCTTTGAATTTAGTCCTTCCTGAATGTGATTGCAACCCTGATATCATCTCTATTCATTTTTATTGGGAATTCTTATTTTTGATACCAGTTTTGTTTGTTTGTTTGTTTATGAAATTCTTAATATATCAGGAACCCTGTCTTTTGTCAGTTCTTTTTTCTTCTTCAAATTAGTCTCATTTCTGTACCTATCCTAATTTAAAATGTTTTTGGTTTATTAATAATTTGCTTTTTATTTATTCATCTCTTTCTTTTATTTTAAAAATTATCTATTATTCTTTTTAAGAAGCCTAGAACATTCTCATTTTCTCTGCTGTCCTATGTATTTGGAATATTACCATGAGTATTGAAATGTCTTTGTTAATTTTGGTTAAATCAACATTTCTACTGCAAGTTCCTTTTTGTTTATAATTTTTATGATTGTTTATTCAGTTTCTCTTCAGATAGGTATTATTCTCATTCTCTCTCTCTCTCTCTCTCTCTCTCTCTCTCTCACACACACACACACACACACACAGATGCATACACCACACAAACACACTTTTATTTTTCCCTTTTTTCTAATATATTGTAAATCTCCAAGAAAAAAGTCTTATTGCTCATATATCGTTGAAAACGATTTTGATTTGGATTATTTGTTCAGTGCTTAAATTTTCCTTCTTATATTGTTTACTTTAGGTTTCTTCAAATACATGTCTTTCTGATTCCCCTAATTCTACTGAAGGATGTCTAAACTCAACAATGTTACAATTTGCTGAGGTAAACCTCTTAGAATGACAATTTTTTGTTAAGTGGTACAGCAACAGTTTATAAATACTGAAAAGTATTTCCTTAATGGAATACAATTTAATTCCATGAGAGCCCTAGTTATCATGCAGTTATTACTTATTGTAAATAAAGTAGTATCGGATTTAGACTGGAAAAACTATTTTTTTCAAAAGTTTTTTTAATCCTACTTTTATATTATTTGAGTTATTATTATTAATAACCCAAGGTAGTGATCATATCCAATACTGATTTCTCCACCCATTTTCCCTACAACAGTGATGGCGAACCTTTTAGAGACCAAGTGCTCAAACTGCAACCCAAAACCCACTTATTTATCGCAAAGTTCCAGGGCTGCATCAGCATTGTGGTGCCCTCAGGGGGTGTGGGGTGTGTGGCCCACTGGGTGGGCGTGGCTGCAGTGGTCACGGCAGACTGGGTGAGCGTGGCCAGGGCCAGTCCCTTGCCATCTCAGGGGCATCCCCGGGGGGCCAAACACTGCTTGCTCACTTACTTCCTGCCCTGTCACTTCCAAACGCCATGTGCTCGCTACTCTGGCGAACTCTGCTGGGGCAACAGCACGCGTGCCCACAGAGAGGACTCTGAGTGCCGCCTCTGGCACACATACCATAGGTTCGCCACCACTGCCCTACAATAATAATCCTGTGAAGTGAGTTTAGATGAGAAAGAATGACTGGCCTTAAGTTACCCAGCAACTTTCATACCTAAGGTAAAATTAGAACTCATAGTTTCCTGGTTTCTAGTCTAGTACCTTAACTGCTAACCATTATTCTAGTACTTTTAAACATTTAACATGCAAGATGAGATGCTTAATTTTATTCAGCTAACACAAATATTCAGTTAAAATCTTTTATTTAATAAAAGCTATTTAAGACTATTTTTGCAGTTCTCTACTTGAGTATTTATGATGTTGTTGTTTTTTTGTAAGATTTTCATTGTGAAATTTTATGTCAATTTTTTTTTTTAAAAAAATACTACTTGCTTTGGAAAATGGCTTTTTTATTCTTTATATGCTCAATTATATATGCCACACAGTCACTTTCTTTGAGATAGGCAGGTTTATCTGGAAAGAAAGAAAGAAAGAAAGAAAGAAAGAAAGAAAGAAAGAAAGAAAGAAGGAAGGAAGGAAGGAAGGAAGGAAGGAAGGAAGGAAGGAAAGAAAGAAAGAAAGAAAGAAAGAAAGAAAGAAAGAAAGAAAGAAAGAAAGAAAGAAAGAAAGCTCAGTTATGTTGTGGCCACAAATATCATTTGTGTTATGTGTCATTTGAAAAATAGACTGTTAATATAGGATAACTTAGTAGTTGTTTTGAAAAAATACATTTCCATCAGATTTCTTCAAATCTGTCAAAGGGAACTGTTCCTGCAAATCCAAAAGAAATTGGTGAATCAACTCTACTTCATTTCTCAGAGGTACAACAATACTATATTTTTGAGGGGAAAAAAGGAGATGAAATTTTATAAAAATATGTAGCTGTTGTTTTAAATTTTGTTATATATGGTTTTAATCCCAATTACATATTGGATAGTTATACACGGCTCAAATGGAGGGTTGGATGCATTATAATTTGAATGCAATATAATGTGCAGATCAATTTTCACACAAGAGTATTTCAAATATTGATTCTAGCACTGATTTGAATACAGGTAGTCCTCATTTAGCAACCACAGTTGGGTTATCCAGTTGTTAAGTGAAACCACAACTTTTCTTATCATCTTACATCAGCTTTCCTTTACTTTATAGACCCGCAAAGGTTGTTAATGTTAGCATTAGTCGTTAGTTACTTTTTCAGAATCCTTGTAACTGCAGTTACAAACAAGGCTGTCACTAAACATGGACTAGGGCAGGGGTGTCAAACTGCTGACCTGCAGACCGGATGCATCCTAGTAAAACCGCATCCACCCCATTGTCGGCAATGGCAAAAAAGTTGCAATATGTTGTGACACGTCATGTGACGTTGCGAGTTTGACATCCCTGGACTAGGGTATTTTGATTTGAGTATTTGTGTAAATTACTAATCTGATATAATAAATATAAGTGATATGTGGAAATCTAGTTCCTCTCCTTGAAGTTACTGAGAAATATTGTAGTATTATACTTCAGGTATATACATATATGGTATATACATTAGTTATGGATTCTGTATATATTTAATAATTCAGAGACAAGCAAAATAGTAGTCAGTATTCTGAATATCAATGAGAAATGTTTTAATTCTGCTATATGTAAAATTTTGTTCCATCCTCAAATGTTTTTTCACATTTTTTCTTCATCAGTCTTTTCTCTGCTTTACTATTTCTTGCACATTTTTCTTATTTTCATACTTATTTCATTTTAAGATGGCAAATTTCTAATTGCATTAGTTCATTCTTCCTCATTTAATAGTATGCATAATAATTCTTACAATTTTATCAAATTTATTATAGCATCTTGGTACCAATTTTGAAACGAAAAGATCAAAGGTTGACCACTAGATATAGCAAGGCTACCATTTTTTGTATAAGGAAAAAGAAAAGTTTACTTTTCCACAATTATCTGTTTCTTTTTGGAATGTCAAAGGTGGAAAAGAGAAAAGCATGGTTGATTGTTTTGGCTTATGAAACCAGAGGTTAATTGTGGAATAGATCATAAATTGCTCATTTGCAAATTTCCAATTAATCTAAAGCAGTAGTCAACCAGTTTCCACAGTATGATCTTTTGTATCGATCTATAATTTTTAAAGAGAGAACCAGAATTAGTTTGAAATCCTGAAATTTACTGATAGAGGCTCAGAAGAACTATGAAAAAAACAAGACATTGTTAAAGATGAATGTGACAAGGTACCACCTATAAAGTCTTGGAATTTACAGTAAAATTTTTGGATAACTGAGGCAGGAACAACACAGGTTGTGCTAGCACTGCCAAAATAAAATATCCTAAAAGGAATATTTTTATGTATGTGTTAGTTTTCATTTAAAGGATTTAATTCCTTCCTGCTTATTTTAAAATCTTTATGTCTTCACTTGCAGCTGAAGGGTCCTGAGCCAATCAAGCACTATAGAAAATCAGCACTCTTCCAGTTGGCTGAGGTAATCTTGTTTTATTAATTTTGTGACTCTTTGGAAAAAGAGGCACCAGAAATTTATTCCAAAGGATTTAGTTCAGAATTGTATATGTAAGCATAGGTCACCCCAATTATTAATGTGATATAACTTACTTTTAGAACACAAATTGATTTTAAATCAGATCAGTGAGTGTTAAATCTGCTTGTAAAATACTTTTACAGAAAAGCCAGAGAAAAGAAGACAGATACTAATAATTTTCAGCAAAAGTTTTACATCTCTGTTTTCTATAATATATGAAAGGTAGATTATACAGGAATGGCAAAACATTGATCGTCACTTTCAAGCATACACCATTTCTTTAATGGTATAGAAAAAATTGGGCTCCAGTGATATTACATTGCAGATAACTGTCAGTTTTGCAATCCTAACCTCTAAAGAGAACCCCAATCCCATAAGTTCCAATAAAACTTTCATGTTTCTAGAAATCTGGAACTGAAAATAATACTTTAGTTCTGAAAAGATGCTTTAATTTATATACAGTTTTGTAATGAAAAAATGCAAGTACAATTTTTCAAATATTAATTCACTGTATACTTGTACTGAGTAAGGCATATTTGCAATTTGATTAGGAACAGAATGTCAGTTTAATTATCCTCATGGGAATTTCTTTAAAGGACAGCAAAGGGGTATAAAGAATCTTATGATACTTTGATTTTTCTATACATTTTCTATACTATGCAGTCCTTACCACCCCTTTACAATGGAGAACCTAAGGTCATATTTCAGCTACATTTTTGCTGCCAAACTTTCTTTGAATCTTTGATCAACCTTCAGATATCTTGTATAAAGTACAGAATGAATCTATATATATGGTTCCTTGCTTTTCAATAAAGCAAAAAAATATTTAGGACTGTTTAACAAAGAAGGGGGATCTGGGGCTAGAGATTTAGACTTGTTTGACATTAAGAGACTCTTTTTTAGTCCCTCATAGTCCTATCTTCCACATTATGAAGTATTCATATGCTACTAAGTCTGCGCATATGTAAATGCAGCAGAGAGATTTGGTCAAACCATCTAACTGCCTCATATACTTGCATAACTTGTTTCAACAGAATTGTTGGTAACTGGGCAGTCTTAGACATATAAATTGTAAGCAAATTATAATAAATTAACAGGTTTACTGCACAAACATCACAGTCTTCCATAATATAGTATATAATGGCCAAAACAGTTCCTAATGAAAAATCAGAATAAATCATACTGAGGACAGTATAAAATATGTTAATAAGTTTAATTAATATTTTGTTCATTAAATATAAAACAAATGTAATATTACTTTGAAATCATTTGGATTTAACATATGCTATTTTATTTATTCATTTCACTTTACATCAACCAATAACAGGCAGTGAATAATTAGTTGGAGTTTATCATAAAAGATAAAATTGTATAAAAACCATGTAACAGGCATGCTATTCCCTTCAGAAAAGGTAACATGCATAGTATAGAACAACAGTAATACATAACAAGAAAAAGCAATTAAGGGCAGAGTTAAGATGATGGAAAGTATAATGAATATTGGTTTAACCTCAGTACCATTGGGTAAATTACCTCTCTGCACCTTTACATGCTTGCAGATCATACTTGCTTCCACTATGACCATACAGCATGCTTCAGAATGACACATCCTAGTATTCTCCCAAACATTCCTTTTTTGAATCAATATATTTTGCCAATTCTTGGCATACCTAATTCTCATTTCCATATATCAAAGTGGACAGAAGCTGTTATTCACAGACTATCACTTCTTTCAATGAACATTAATTCCTCACAATAAGCCATACCTTTCAGCTACCTTTCATACTTGTCTGTGTCAAAATTTCTCTATTCATTTTCATATCTTCAATAAACATTCTGCCAATTTGCTCTACATTTTTGACATTGAATAATGCAATATACCATTTCACTCAGTTTTTTCTGTCATGCAGTTCTCTTAATTTTTGATAATTTTATTTAATTTTTTTCTTCATATTCTATGTTGCATCATACAATCTACCTAAGGTTTACCACAAATCATTTGATTTAGCAGCCCCAAACCTGACATCATTTGCATATAACACTGAAAGTCTTTAAGAAGAGACTGGACAACCATTTGTCTGAAATGGTATAGGGCAGTGGTGGCGAACTTTTTAGAGACTGAGTGCCCAAACTGCAACCCAAAACCCACTTAGGTATTGTTGAGTGCCGGGTGGGCATGGCCCATTGGGTGGGCGTGGCTTCAGTGATAACGGCAAACTGGGTGGGACTAAAAAGTTCAATCAATCAATTCCAACTTTGTGAGATTTTTTTTTCCCGTGAGAAATTGAAATTGATTGATTGAACCTTTTTTTTTGCACACAGTGGCGGAGGCCTAAAGCGAAAAGGTTTTATAAAACCCAGCGGAAGGACTAAGACTGGGGCCATGGTGCGCGTGCCCACAGAGAGGGCTCTGCATGCCACCTGTGGCATGCGTGCCATAGGTTCACCACCACAGTTATAGGGCTTCCTGCCTGAGCAGGGGGTTCGACTAGATGACCTCCAGTGTCCCTTCCAACTTCTTCATTATTATCATTATTATTGTTATTAATATTAATAATACAGACATGTTAACAACCTTAATTGATACACCTTTAACATCATGAGAAGCATCTCTTTTACTTGTTTCTGTAAATGCATTAAATAAGAAAGAAAGTATAACATAGTTTGTCTTCCCCCATGTTCAGTGTTGGACCATTGATGAAATATTCCATTAATTCTCTTATGTGTTTTAAAACCATCATATCCTGCTCTTTTCACATTCAGCAACTAATTTTCATATTTGTGCAGAATATATCATAATATTTTCATCTTCATCATATTTTTCTTAATTACTAGACTAAAATTATTTTTTTCCATTTATTTTTCAAATGGCCAAAAAGCTGATCTGCACTTTTATTAGTCTGGCATAAAGCCATTTTGCATTTCCAAATTTTGCTCCCTGTCATTTGTTTTTCTCTTTGCATCAAAATTCTTCAGATACCTTTTTCATAAGTAACAATAATGATTTTTTTTTCAGTAGTGAGAAACAGATAACTATCTTCACTGGTTAAACAACAAACCATCAAAACTCCATCAACAAACGCCATCTGTATTTTATTGTTTCTTTAATATACTGTTTACATCTGCAGCCATATTATTTTTTACTTTTTCATGGTGTTAATGAATTCATTTTCTAGCATTTTGTAGAATTAATTTAAATCACTTTTTCAACATATCATTCTGTGAGAGAGATGGGAATGTTGATATATAACTAAATAAACATCAATATTATCCCCACATAAATTTTTAAAATATTCTTTTCAACATTTTCTAACTTAAAGTTCATGTTAAATCTTTTCATCAGTTTTACTTTTATTTCCATTCACTTCATTTCAAATTATTTCATCAGTGTTATTTTTGTCCTCATTTACTCTGTTGGAGGTTCTTGGTTTAGTCCCCTTCATTTTTTCCAAAACATTTTATTTGTATCAGAATTCTTTTTTCAAGACCAGGGTGTCTTTGCAGTTATAGTTTCATCTATATCCATGTTGTACAACATATTCCAACTTCGTTCTTTATATAGAGCGTTCCTATATAACACCAAGCATCCTTGTCTTATTTCTTTGGCACTTTGTAACATAATTCCTTTCATTCTATCTCAAATAGTTCCCATATTATCTTCTTTCACCGTTCTTTCTTTTACAAAATTAGCCTGATGTTAATATTCTTTCATATATGCCAACATTTTCTATCCTTGCAAGTTCTGTTTTCACTCTAAGTTTCTGGTTTTTTTTTCATCATATTCATTTTTCCCAAAAGCTAGCCAAAGTTCAGAACCTTTCATCAATCTTGCATCCCTCCCTAATTCTCTCAGCTTTCAACTATCAACTCATGTTTTCACATAAATTCATTTGCCATATTTACACATTAATAGACTGTTGGCTTAAGCCAGGATTTTAAATAAACATAACTTTTCCTTAGCAAATAAATTCTAGTCACTATTCTTTTTCATACTTGGGCCATGATCCTATATTTTTGTTTTATTCTCACTCATCAATCTATATAATCTTACAGAATATTTTTCTCCCACAACATATTAATTCAAAATGTTACACAATAGTCAGATCAAATAAATATAATATAAATTATATAAAAGACAATATAGACAATAGTACCCCAAACAAGATAAATATCAATAGCAATAATAATAATGATACTAAATATAGCATGAAATCTCAATAATACAGAGTCTATAAGTCAACTACACCTCCTATGCCATTTCAAACCTAATTAATTTTAACAGCATGGTTTAAACACAGTTCACAGAAAAGTCCTTTTTTTCCTTTAAATGGAAGGAGGAAAAAAGAAGAGAAATGCTAATAGCTGATGCTCTTGGAATTCAAGAGCATGGGTTCATTGCATCTAATTTATGTGTACATAAAATTTAAATGAACTACCATGAAAACAAAAAAAGGTTGCAATTTCCATTTGCATAGTTGTGTAACTTTTAAATTTAAGTTTCCTTTGTAGTGATATAATCCTTTAATTCTTATCATCAAAACTGAATTGAAATTGAACCTAGTTGATGGAATATTTTTTATTTCTATGGAACTCCAGTATTAAATTATATTCCAAATATTGCTGTCAAATTTGAAGCTTCCCTAGACATTAATGTTCACCTTGAAGATGCAACTTTATCAGTGACTGTGTGATATTATCTGCTTCAACCCCTCACTTTCTTTATTTCTACTTTAGATCTCATCAAGTACATCCCATTCAGGTCCTTCTGAATTAACGAAACAATGTGGGACATCAGCATTGTTTCAGTTGGCAGAGGTAGTATTAAAATCCTGTGGCTTAATTACTACTGGTACATTTGGGAAATAGAAGCTGAATGATACTGGTTGCCAAAGTCTAGGAAATAGAGCTATAATACAGACATAATTAGCATTGTTGTTTATAGAAGCCTAAATTACTGTTCATGCCAAGAATCTAGATTTATCTTGTCTAACCATTAGGCATGTTGTCTCTGTAGTATCAAGAAGTTACAAACAGCTAGCTTCAAGAAGCGGTAGCCTACTGAGTAGAGCATAATTGTAAATTGCATACAGGATTTCTCTTAAATAGTTTTAAACATTTCATATCTTTAAAGGAAGAAGTTCATATAATGATGCATGCATAAGTTGTATCGCTTATCACTAGATATTTATGGGCCTTGACCAGTTGCAGATCATAAAAGAGAAATCGTGGAAACTATTTCTCATTCAGAGAGTGTGATTCTTAAATCCATTCAAACACTAAACAATAGGGCATCCTTTTCCCAGTATGTCCCAAAGCAGTATGCCAAGGGCACAATCCCCTTTTAGCTCTCTTGCTTCCACAGATGAGTGTCCTAAAGTTGTATCCAGACAGATGATCTCTATCTCACCTTACCATTCTCAAGCCTATCAGTGTCTCAGAGGTAGTAGTTAATCAAGAATAAATTACTTTCTAAAAACATCTTCTTATTGTTTAAGCTATATACCTTGCCCTCTTCCACAGTTCTTCCACAGTTGGTGATTTATAGCTCTCAGTAAAGGTAGCAAACAAATAGGGGTAAATTCTTGTTTTTTATGTTGAATTAATTCCCTCAAATGTACATTTCATGATTTGATCAGAAAGGGAAAAGAAAATAATTGTAAAGAACCTTCCTTGAGTGTTGTAATATAAGATTTTAGACCTAACTGAACATGAACATAAATCTATAATTCATTGAAATTGCATATAAGTCTGTTTTGGTACGCAGAACATATCTACATATTTGCACTGAGGAAGCAACCAAGTGCCAATAAATTATATATTTTTCAAAAACATGTATAATATAGTTTTACTGTTATTTTCATGTATGCAACTTTTAAAAACAAAAGTGAGAAAAATCAGGGTAAATTCAATGCACTCAATGTACAATAAAATACTGCAGGCTACATCCTATGCAAGAAATTTATTACATATACATAATATGTAATAGCACATTGTGTTGTTCTTCTTAAGAAAAAGCAGTATTATGCAAAACACAAACATAATAAAAAATAATAAACCAAACAATTTAAAGACATGAGATAAAAATAAAAAAGAAACATAACTAAAACCAATACCATTCACTCTACTCCTCCATACAGATAGTCTTTGACTTAACAACAGTTCAAAGTTACAATGGCACTGAAAAAAGTGACCTATGACCATTTTTTATGCCTATGACCTTTGCAGCATTCCCCACAGTCATGATCAAAATTCGGAAGCTTGGCAACTGACTCATATTTATGACAGTTGCAGTGTCCCAAGGTCATGTAATCACCTTTTGTGACTTTCTGACAAGCAAAGTCAATGGGAAAGCCAGATTCACTTAACAATCATTTTACTAATTTATCAACTGCCGTGATTCACTTAACAAATGTGGCAAGAAAAGTCATAAAATGGGGCAAAATTCACTTAACAAATGTCTTACTTAGCAACAGAAATTTTGGTCTCAGTTGTGGTCGTAAGTTGAGGACTACCTGTACTTTTTAGCCTTACAAATTGCATGAGCTGCCTTTTGCTATTTAAATTTCTTTACTTCTATCTTTTTATGGATATCATCAATTCCAGCTTTCTTAATCCTTCCCATCCTCTGGAGCCACTCATTCTTTATACATTTGATTCTCATTAATTCTGTCCACATGATCAAACCAAGATACTTTATTTATATGTCAGTTATATTTTGTATTTACTCCACTTTTTTAATGTCCTTTTTTAAAACACTATCCATTCAACTGTAGTGGAAACTTTGTCTTTGATCGATTAATTTTAGCTGAGTATTCATCATTGTATCTGATATGCAGCAATGTAAGTTAGTATGTCATAAATGAAACCAGAGCCTAGTTTTAAACTAAGCATACTCATGTTATTCTACGGAGGACAGAATCTGCACAGAGACAGAATCTCACAAGTCAGCATAATCCTTTTTACATCCCACCGACCTTGGGGCAAATGCAGCATGCTGACAAACTCAAGCTGCAAAGGTTTATTAAATTAAGAATTTTATGCTTTTATGAAAGCATTTTAAATATGAAACTCTGAAAGAATATCAGCAAAGCTATCACTGCCATTTTATTAGCTTTATACCAATAAAATATTATTATATCCTTTATATTTTCTTCTTTGGAATAATTTAAATAGCAACATCTTTGAGATGAAACTGAGCCTAAAACTGACATGTTGGATCAGTTTGTGAAGTATAGTTATTATTTAAAATCTCTTAAGTTGGGTTCCATGTATATACCATACAGAAATTAAAGGTATTATGCATGTACCCTAGAGCTAATGAAATTAAATTTGAATGTTTTTTCAGAACTCATACAGCTTAATTGAAATTGAAATAAGAGCATTTTCCCTATGCCATTCAATGATTTTGCTACCAGATTGCTAAGAGTACATAATTGAATACAATGTGTTTACCATTGTAGACAGTTAATTTACTAGTGTAATGCATACTTGTTCCAAAGTATTTGTATAAGATTTATATATTCCCAACTTTCAAAGAATTCAGTGCAATCAACATGAAGACACAAGAGTGTTTTTGTTAAATGTATCTTCCATGATATATAGTATAGGAAATATAGAACGCACTGCTACTAAAATGAGTCTACTAGTGCTAGAGTAATTTATAGAACTGTTATGCAATCTTTAAAATTCCATAATAAAGGAGAATTAATATTGGAGTTTGTTTCAGATGTGCCTTGCCTCTGAGGAAGTAAAAGTGAGAGAATCTGGGAAGGCAAAACCTGAAACAGCCAGGATTGTCAAAACACTGAAAGCATCTGAACAGATGAAAGTTGAAGATCCAGAGAGAGCAAAAATAAAAACAGAAAAATCTCAGAAAATGAAGGAACAAGAACATAAAAAAACAAAGACTGGAGTTTTTGAGGAGGTGACAAGGTGTGTGCATATTTCAGATCCAGCTTTGAACAGCATTGCATTAGTTGGACATGACAATGCAACATCAAAAGATCCTGCATGCTGTTCCCATGAGCTGACATCAATAGCTGACATCAGCATTTTAGGATTAAACAAACCAGAAAAGCTGAAGAAGAAAAAGAAGAAAAATAAAGTGGACCGACAAGGACTTGAGAAATGTACTCCTAAAAAGACTTGCAAAAAGAGGCAGTCTTCCGAATCAGACATTGAGAGTGTCATTTATACTATTGAAGCAGTTGCAAAAGGGGACTGGGGGACAGAGAGACTTACAGAAATGTCCCATAAGAAAATTCGCCTTTCTTCTGCAGTAAAGGGGAATATTTTGGACACAAAGTCGCCAAAGAAGAAAGTAAAATCAAAAGAAAAAAGATCACTGAAAGAAAAATGTTTAGAGACCACCAAAGAATCAAAGCCTCCTGATTTTTTTAGCATTAAAGATAACAAGGATGCACCATTTGAAGTATCTGAAAACACAACATCAGATGTTCTAACCCCAACAGAGGATATAATATCACAGAGTTTACCAGATCAAGTAAAAATTGAAGACAATGACTGTAGTAAAAAGGCAGAAATTTGCGGCTCGAGAAAATCTGAAAGAGCTTGCAAAGGTGCTCTGTACAAAACTCTGGTGTCAGAAGGCATGCTTACATCTCTGCGTTCCAATGTTGACAGAGGTATTTGGCTTTTAATATGTCTGTCTCAAAATTTTAAAACCCATAACATAATTGTTTTTTATGTTTCATTATTCAAAGTAAATTGAATATAATTCCTTCTAGTCTTTGACAATAAGTCTGCTTTTAGTGAGCTTGTTTCTAGAGGATGTGTCGGTGACAATAGCAAATGGCTGCATATTTTCTCTCCATGATTTTAATTACTTATTTATAACATTTTTAACAGTGCCATGTGGTTCAAATTCAAAGCAAAGGCTTGTTCCAGATGAGACAAAAAGGAGAGGCTAGGAAGTTCAAACTAAGACATAAGACAAATGATAAGCCATATTTTCCAAAATATTCAATCACCTTGGTGATTCTTAAAGCATAACTTCAAGAACTGGTATTTTAGGTGGACACTATAGTGTACAACAGTGTTTCCCAAACTTGACAATTTTAAGGCATGAGGACTTCAACTCCCAGAATTCCACAGCCAGCAACGCTGGCTGTGGAATTCTGGGAGTTGAAGTCCACATGCCTTAAAATTGTCAAGTTTGGGAAGCACTGGTATACAACAATGCACCTAAAATACCAGTTCTTGAAGTTACGCTTTTTTTTTTACAGCACCACCTAATGCCATTTTATGTCATTGGTAATATTGGACAGTCTATCCTAACCTTCCCCACATACTTTGCAATTCTATTAGAATGTAGCTAACCTTCATATCATAATGAATAATTGGTACTTCAGAGGACTATTCTTAATTCAGATCCCAAATTGACCTTCTGCATTCCTAGATATTAATCAGAAAAGATGCTTTCATACCATGGCAGTATCTCCCAAAATAAGGAAAGACGTTTACTGTTATACATTTGCCATTATATAAATGGTTGCTTATTTAGGCTGAACATTGTACTAATTTAAAAAAAACAGTAACCACAAGCATTGTACTAGATTTATGGAGCATATGCAAAAATCTTCTAAGAATGCATTTATTTCTTCATTACTTAAGTTCTGTCTCACTTTTTTACATAGGTTCATAGGATTCCAAGATAGTTTTCCACCCAGGGATTAATTAGCCTTTAGTTTCAAGCAAACTGGAATCTGAATAAATCCTGCTTACCATGACATGAAAAGATTTTTGTATCCAATTGTATTAGTTTATAATTTTCAATACATAGAGAGGAGAGTGCATAGGTTAATATTCAATTTCCCTTTTAATATTTGTTTGTGTGAGTCTCTTTGCAGTTCTTAGTTGGGAATATGTGCAGGGTTTTTTTAAACATACATTCCCATTTTTAGCCTCAAGCATAGTAGATATCCAGTTGCTTAGTAAAGCTTTATATGAGGGCTGTAAAATGCTAACAGTATGAATTATTAAACAATGATCGCTGTTGATATGTTTGTTATTTTAAGCAGATTATTTTCTTCTTTCATTCCTTAGTTCTAGGTTCATATTTACTAATTAGCGTTAAATTATACTAGTTATATCAATTCATGGGGACTTGCTTAGACATTGCCATATTAAATAATGATGTAATCATTTTGTGAGTCTTGCGATAGTCTCTGATGGAATATCTAGCTAGATGAATCAGTCATCCTACTTAGCAAAAAGCAATATATTATGTTTCTAGTGTGTCTCTATTACAAAGTTTCCCAGTAATCTCCATGCAATTTTTCTTGTTCCTACTTACTTTCTTAGGAAAACGAAGCTCAGGAAAAGGTGGCAACTCTGATCAGGAAGGATGCTGGAATGAAGAAACGTGGGCATTTTCCTTAAGTGGGACAAGTGGGAACAAAAAGTTAAAAAGAAGCAAGCCAAAGGAAGACATTGTTTTGGGGTAAGTGATATAATAAGTATGTAAGGGTACAAGTCATTTTCAGAATAGTATGGTAATCATTAAAAATGAAATATCTTGTTAAACAGGTATCTTGCTTATTTGTGTAATTTTTGTCACTTTTGTCAGTTTCGGCCTCTACTATCTGGATCACAATTCCTTTGATTTGTAAATTTTAGGTTTGCAAAAATGATGTGCAAGATTTAGATTTGAAACAAGTCAAACCATAGTGACCTATTTCAAGTATATACATGCATACGTGTATACCCTATATACTCATGGATAAGTCAAGAATTTTAGGTTCCAAAATACATCCCCCAAACTGTGTTTTACTTATTCCCAAGTGGGCTTATCTGCAAATATATACACTAGTAATTTTCTAAAGTACCCGTATTTACTCACAGATAAGCTTATTCTTGATTTTTAAAACTAAAATACCATGAAAAATGTCACTCACAGATACAGTAATTATGAAATAATTATGAAATTATGGCTATCAAAAATTAAAATTAAAACAAATAAAAATAATTTTGAGGCTAATCCAGGGTATCTTTTTCATGGTATTTTGATTAACATTTTTGATTAAAAATTCAAGGGTTAGCTTATCTACAGATGGGTTAGTCCGCAAGTATATATTTTACTTACATTAAATGTGCAAGACATGGGAAATCATTTGTATACTAAGGAACGGTTGCTGGAATTGGGTATGCCTAGTTTAACGAAGAGAAAGACGAGGGGGGACATGATAGCAGTGTTCCAATATCTCAGGGGCTGCCACAAAGAAGCTATTTTCCAAAGCGCCTGAAGGCAGGACAAGAAGCAATGGATAGAAACTAATCAAGGAGAGAAGCAATCTAGAACTAAGGAGAAACTTCCTGACAGAACAATTAACCAGTGGAACAACCTGCCTCCAGAAGCGGTGAATGCTCCAACACTGGAAGTTTTTAAGAAGAGACTGGACAGCTATTTGTCCAAAATAGTGTAGGGTTTCCTGCCTGAGCAGGGGGTTGGACTTGATGACCTCCAAGGTCCCTTCCAACTTTATTATTATTATTATTATTATTATTATTATTATTATTATTATTATTATTGTTGTTGTTGTTGTTGTTGTTGTTGTTGTTATACATGCAAAACTGCCCTGAACAGGAGCAAATCCTAATATTGCTTGATGGATGGATGACCACACTGATACATGGATATGGGAATGCAGCCCTACTGGCCCTGCTAGATATTTTGGTCACCTTCTATTCTATTAAAATAGTACGCTTCTAGATCACCAATGAGAGTTGGGAATCACTCCTCTTTAATGGTTCTGCTTCTTCATGAGTGGATGGTTCCAGATAGTGTGTAGGGAAGAGAATTCAAGCTCTGGAGGACTCCAGCACTTGGGCCTTAGGGCTGGACCCATCTCCCCTATTTTATTCAATATTTTCATAGTATAATAAAATCTACATTATTTTAATCTGTTTGGTTTTCTGCTTTCACATCTTTAGCTTAGCAAAGCTGGAAGAAGAATTTGAAAAAAAGTTCAACAGCCTTCCTCAATACAGTCCAATCACATTTGATCGTAAAAATGCCTCTCTACCAAGAAAAAAGAAAAAAGTTGGCAGTTGCGCTGTAGACCAAACAAAATCTAACAAAGGTAAGTGCTTATAGCAATGCAAACTCATTTTCTTAAATCCATATTTTTAGGTCAGAAGTTCATTTATGCATGAAGATAGATGAAGGAATGTCAGAATTTTTGCATTATTTTCCTGTTTTTCCCCTGGCATTTCAGAGGGCTAGAAAAGACAAATCTGGAATTCCTGGCTGTTTTGTGTAATATATTTCTGTTTTATAATTCATTACTAATATATATAATTCATTACTGATAACTTTTCAGAGATATAATTTGGTGGAGTGGTTAAGGCATCAGGTAGAAACCAGGAGAGTCTTTAAGTTCCAGTCCTTTCTTGGGCATGAAGCAACAGGGTAACCTTGGGCTAGTCCAGGGGTCGGCAACCTGAAACAGTGAAAGAGCCACTTGGACCCATTTCCCTCACACACAAAAAACCTGGGAGCCGCAAAATGTGTGTGCACGCACACGCAAAACAAGGGGCTTGATTGAAGAGTGGAGCTTAAGACGAGATGTGCACCAGCCCTGCCCCCCCCCATCCAGCTTTGGTATGGACGGCTCTGCCATCCTGGCTTTTCCTCCCCTCCCCGCGCTCTCCCTCTCTGGAACTTTCTTCTTTCCGCCTTTTGGCGCGAAGGTTCCCAGGGAGCGGAGGAGGAAGCCGACGGGGAGAAGGAGCTGCTGCAGCAAATCTTCCAAGGCGGCAGCAAATGGCCGTTCGGGCTCGCCTATCTCAGCCTGCTGTGGGAGGCTGGAGTTGAGGCTTCTGGCTCTCTCTGGGAGGGATGCTCGGAAAAGAGAGGATAAGAAGCAGAAAGTGGGAGAAAGTATTTCTTCCAGCTCTCTGGGGTTCTTTCGCTGGGAGAGCGAGGAAGCAACAGTTCTGCTCCATGGGAGGTGGGAGCAGGCGGCCTCTCCTTCAAACTTCGCCAAGTGACTCCAAAAGCGAAGCGAGCTCAAGAGTCCCCGGAATGTCAACTTTACAAAAGAGGAAGGCGGTGGTGGGATTAAAATAAAACGGGGTGGAGGCTGAGGAAACCCAGCAAGAGCAAGAAAGGCAAGATCAGGGAGAGAAAGAAAGCTTTCTGGGCTTGTGCACAGACATAGCTGACTCCTCCTCGTCTCCTGCCCTTGCTGCATCTCCTGTGGAGATGTGTTTGCGTCTCTCTGTGTCTCTCTCTGCCACTCAAAGCCATCCTGCAGCTCGATCATTGAAGCAATTTCAATTGGCCCCTTCATTGCCAAGCATCCCCATGGAAGTCAATGGAGGTTCACGGCGACTCGAAAGGCCAGCCGTGGTGCTTCCAAGTCTGTTGGTTTTACCGGCGAGCCACCATCTTCGCCTCCTTGGCTTTGGCATCAACACAGATCAATGAGCAGGAGGATTGATTAGTACAGGTCTCTCCTGGCCAAAGTAGCAATGGATGGAACAGGACCTTGCCTGATCTTTTGTCCAAACTCAGCCAGGTGCGTCCCTTGGCCTTTCGAGTCACCGCGGACCTCCATTGACTTCATGGGGACGCTTGGCAATGAAGGGGCCTTGAAGCCACTTCAAGGATTGAGCTGCAGGATGGCTTTGAGTGGCAGAGAGAGACACAGAGACGTCTCCACAGGAGATGCAGCAAGGGCAGGAGACAAGGAGGAGGCGGTGGCTCGTTGGTAAACCAATGGACTTGGAGGTGCCACAGCTTTCTGGGACACCTGGCCCGGGGTCTTACAAAAGACCCAGCCCAGGCCCAATTCCCTGCCCTGCCCATCTGGAGACCCCACTACAGTCCCCCCTGCAAACCAGCCTGCAGGATACTCATTGGGAAGAAAGCCCAGCACCGGGCCGTGGGGGGATCTGGGCTCCTAGGACCCCCTGCCCCAAGGAGAGGAACTCCCCCAGCCATCATGCGCTGGTCCTTCCAGGCGGCCCTTCTTCCCTCCAGCTCTGGGGCTCTACAGCGCCCGGCTTCCTCTCCCCCCCCAGCCCCGAGCCAGGCTCCCCAGGAAGCCGTGGGACCCCGGCAGCTGTGGGGATGGGCTGGGGAGGGGTCCTCCTGCTCCAGTTGGGTACCCCCCTCTTTTCAGAAACAGCACCCAAAAGGAAAGGAAGGACGGAGCAAGCTTCCCCCATGGGGGATCCGGCGCTCGTTGCCTACTTCCCTCTCCCGGGTGGGGATCGCCAGCCCCAGCAGATCCACCGGGCTGGCTAGAGGTCCCTTGAGAGAGCAGCTGCCGTCGCCTCCCCTCCCATCTCCCGGTGGGCATCAGGGGAAGCGCAGAACTTCGGGGGGGGCATTCCTGTTCAAAGCAAGCTATGCGCCTTTGGGGCTTGGGAGACAGAGCAACACAGAGCCTAAATGGGGTAGACCCCTTTCCTGGGGCCGCAGCTTGCGGGAGGACTGGCCTGCTTAGTGGAGGCTCCAGCAGGCCGTTCCCAGGGGGGATCCCAGGACTGCCCTGCACGTCTCCTGGCCACGTGTGCCTCGGACAGGGCCAGCCTGGGAAAGGGACTTCCTGGCTGCACTTCTCCCAGGGGGCAGGGCGCCTGGGCGCAGGGCCAATCAGGAGCCCCACAAGGGGGCAAGTCCACATGCGAGAGAGAGAGAGAGAGAGAAGGGAAGCACAAATGCCTCTCTGTCTATGTCTCTCTCTCTGCAAATGGCGGAGGAAGCTCCAGAGCCGCAGGAGAAGGCCCAAAGAGCCGCATATGGCTCCGGAGCTGCGGGTTGCCGACCCGTGGGCTAGTCACTTTCTCTCAGCCCTAGGAAAAAGGAAAACAAATATATATATTTGTGAAATATTAGCCAATTAGGGCATATGAGGATTCATGAAATAACACTATAAAGTGTTAGCCATATGAAATATAATCCAACAAAAGTTAATCAAGAGTATATATGATACCTGTAGAACTAGAGATTCATCCACCCAAGAAGGTCAGTAATGCTGCTGAGTCATAGGTTTCCTATCAATCAACTAGAAACTATATTCCTTCACTCCTTTTCTCATACATAACTAGAATCAAGTTTATATACAAAATGGAAAAGATTGTAAACAAATTGATTAACTAAGCTATTTTTAATGTTCCTTCGGTATTAAATACATTACTTCATATGATATTTAATATTTTACAGTACTTTACTGTGTTATCAAGCCATGTCTCTGCAGCTAAGATACTTCTATAATTACTCATAAATGAGTTCTTTTATCTGCAAATGTAATTAAAAGCATTCTCCTCAGAAAGAAAAAAACAGTTATTTAATGTTATTTAAGTAGAGAAATCCATATGAAAAATACTGAAAATAAAACAAATTAGTAGATAATTCAGCTTGGAGAATTCTAATAGAGTGGCTTATGTGAAAACAGTCCAATTTGGTTGAGATGAAGTTACTTTTATTTGCTTTTTGTGGGATGAAATAATCAACATTTGAAAGATTGTTCCTATAGGTAGTTTTTGTCTACCACGGTTGGAATCAGAATTTCCATTGCTAAGCAGTATGACCATTAACTGAGTCGTACCCAATTTTATTACTTTTTTGTCACAGTTGCTAAGCAAATCACCACAATTATTACACTAATTGCATGGTTGTTAAGTGAATGTGGCTTCCTCTATTGAGTTTCCATGTCAGATGCCCCCTGGGAAGGTTGTAAGTCACTTTTTTCAGTGTCATCAAAACTTTGGACATCATTAAACAAATGGTCATCAATAGACCATTATCTGTATTTTGAAAAACTTATCAAAAATGTTCATAGAACAATAGCATTGCTAATAAAGTGCCCTTCCCCAATTCTGGTGTGCAGATAAAAGCTTTGACTCAATTAAATAAATGTAAGGAGCTAAGGAGAAATCTATCTATGCAGTTTCAATAAGGGTTAAAAGAGTGACTCCTTACATTTATTTAGAATTTCTTAAAAGATCTGTGTAGAATATTTTGCTAACTGTCAAGTAGCTTCACCATTGCAACCTTATTCTAGCACCAGTGAGGTGTTAGGGGAAAATAACAGCTCTAACTTTCTTCTAAATATTCCAGAGTCTGTGGTAATACAAGAACCACTGGTTGGAAGTCAGAAGAGAAAAGCAAGGAAAACCAAGATCACACATCTTGTTCGAACAGCAGATGGTCGAGTTTCACCAGCAGAACAAGATCTGGGTAAGTAAATATGACTGATTTTTTTGACTACTACAACAAATTCATTCATTACTCAAATTTGTCTGTGAGTTCCAGGAATCATAGAAACAAAAAAGAAATTGCAAAAATGTAGGTTTGTAAGCTATTAGTTATTTAAACAACTGGTACAAGTGAATATATTTTGTGTTGTTAGTGTTATACAGTTTCACAACGAAGTGGTCTGTAAAGAATTTAAAAAATGTATATTTAAGAAAGAACTTAAAGAACTAGACCATACCAAAAATATGCCCTCATATTTTTATCAAAACGTCCAGATTTCTGGTACATAAATTTCTTGAATTGTAATTTTATAGAATTTCTTTTTCCTGGGATTGTTCCAGTATTCTTTGAAAAGTCTAAAAAGAAATAAACCTATCCTGAATTAAGCTAAGTTCATTAAATATATACCTATTACTCAATCAATGTACATCAAGAAACCTATACATAATGAATCATGCAATCTTTTATGTCTTGTGACTAGATAGCATAGTTACTTAGCATAGAGCAGGTTCATCTTGTAGCAACTGTATGGACAATTGTCCACTGTGGTTTCCTTTCTTCAGTAATAAATAATCCAAGGACATTTTGGGAACTATTTGATCTCCTTCATCCATCATATATATTGTTTTCCTCTTATATTTACCTCAATCTTGCCGAGCATAATCATTCTTTTTCTAGCCCAACATATAGTTGTATTACATGCACATCAATTAGTAAACCTTTATCTGGTCAGATGTAATTCATTGGTTCTACTTGCAGCTCATAGTGCTTTTTATTAACATATCAAAATCTATAATTTAAAAGTAACTGTCTTCTTTTCACTTTTTTTCAGGTTCCAGCTTTTACAGCTGGGCGTTATTATTAAAAAGACAACTCCTTTAATTATTTAAATATTTGTTGTCACCAAAATGTTCTTCTCTTTTTTTTACAATTTATCATTATATTCCTTTCTAGGATAATCTAGGTTGCAAGTTGCAAAGAATACAAAGCTTTGAATAAAGCTTCAAATAAAGGAGCTTCCCATACATTAATCCCTTGCTTCTAAGGAGAAATTGCAAGAATACCTGTTTAGGACCCTCTCCAAGCTTTTCAATACATGGAGAAAGCTATGATGAGTCTTCTTTGACCCGCACTTAAAGGAGCCATGCATACACACCTACATATTAAGTTGATATTTTTTTTTTACTTTTCATATATTTTCATATCCATTGACTTTTGGGATAGGATGGCAGACTGAGCATGATTCGGCTTTTTGTGGAACTAATGAATGTGGTCCAAATAGGAAGGAATTAGCTCCTCAGACGTCTTCTCTGGACTAAAAAGACAAGGATCTCCCATATTTGGATCGCTCTGAAGAGATTGTAAAATATTATTCTCCAGCAGATATGAGAGGTCTGGAGGAATGCAACATCTTTTAAAGAGACTATGTTTGCTTACTTCCTGTCTTAATTACTTTAGGAAACTTTTATTGTTAATTTCTGTGGAGTTAAGATCCTTCCAAAAGACTGTTTAGTTGCAGTTGTTAATGGCCAGGTAGGGCTGAAAGCAAAGGCTCACAAACTTTTACCACTTTCTTTGGGATACCTTGATCACTTTTCTAACAGCTATTTGGATCTTCTCCTTTTTGAATGTTTTTCTACTTAAGTTTACAGTATCTTTTTAGTTCTGCAGGTTCTGTTTTCCATAAAATAGGCATACTTTGTTCCTTTCATTATTCTTATAGTACGTATTATATTTACTTGGTTTAATATTTTCATTTTGACATGGATGATGCACCTATTGCAGTTTGCCGTAGAATTCCTCAGTATTTTCCGCCATTGTATCTATACTTATCCATTATCTTGTATAAAATTAATATTTATGTATTTCCTTTGCTTCTAATACTGTATTTATGATCCTGTCTTTTATTGGATGTATTATTCTTTTCAGTATCTTTGTCCCTTCATTCTTGGCTTATGGTATACCTAGTAAGTCATCTATGCTAACGTGGCCAGTTCTAGTCCATTTAAATTCAGATTTCAAAAGCATAAGTTTTAGTTTTCGTCATAATAATGCTTAAATTACTTAGCAAAAAAATAAAGTACCACATTAAGACTTGTTTAAATGTAGTACGATACATATAATTAAAAACATTTTATAATATACTAAAGACTATGGAATGTAGGACAATCTCAAGGTAAGTATTAGAAAGACAAAAGCTTTCCTATATTTTCCTTCAGTGGACATAGAATGGGGAATTGATTGACTGGGTTTGTTTTTATGTTGTATGTCTCCATATTGGTTTGATTATAAAGAGAGAGAGAAACCGTATAATACATTTCATTTTCATCTCAGTGTAAGGAAGATTGGATTCTGTTAAAACAATCTTTGCTATTTTGCTTCCTTTTTAGAAGAAAAACCAAAAGGGCATCTGCAGAATACTCTTCAGAGAACATTAAATACAGGGATGGAGTGCAGAAAGGAATCCTTGCTAAACAACAATCTGGCAGAAAGTCATAGTATGACATCAGACATGCCATCTGTATCTGCATTCTTCAGTCTAGCTGCCTTAGCAGAGGTAGCAGCAATGGAAAATGTGCACAGGTAAATACTAGTTAAAAGGAACTATGTCTTTTTATATCTGTAGCTGTGCCTAAAGTTAAGCACCCAGATCAAGAGATATTTACTGAGCCTCATGAAGCATTTTAGCTAGACATTCCATATGTAGAGACATCATACGGTAACTGTGTGATGCCATTAATTTCTTTATCTTTTTATTCCAATAAGGGGAAAGTATATCTCTCTTTTCCCTGCTATAGCGTTTCCAATTCCTAAAAGGCAGCCTGTAAATTCAAGATGCACCTAGGAAAGGCCTGGAATGTAGAATGCAGTGGGAAGGTGATATTTTCTTGTACTAATTGCCTCTTCCAATAATTTGGTTGCATAGATTATTTCCTATGAACATTGATATAATAGAATGATACAGGGTGCATATTGTTAAGTCACATTAATTTAAACCCACATACTTTTTCAAAAAAGAAAAATGTAGAACTTGCAAAGTTTTACTTCTTTTTGTAATCAAAATATTGAAATGAAAATTTTACTTCTTTTTGTAATCAAAATATTGAAATGAAAATTATGATATTTATGTGTTATGGTCATACATATGTTTACGTACATAAATGTACATCTTTGGAAACTGTTCTTGCACCTTTTTTGTTTGCTGAAAAATTGTTGTTTTTTTTTAAAAAAAACTGTACAATATTGTATGCCCTTTAATCACAAAGATAGCATTTTTAAATGTGATTTGTGTGTCAGTAATACAATTATTGAACTTAGAACATCAATTTAATTTCAGTCAGTGTTTTCAAAAATACTGAGAAGGAGAGATAGAGGTGATAAAAAAGTATTCTACTGGCTGTGTTACTAGGTCTGCCAAAGTGACACCTTTGTGTCATTCAACATTTATTTTATTTTTATTTTTGCTTGTTTTTAACTTCCTTTTTGCATTAAGCATTAGGGAATTATTTCATTGCATTTTAATTTTTACCAGAATGGAGTTTTGTAAAAATATTTGGGAAACAATTATAATGATATTCAAAATGCGAACTTTATTATCCATGCCAATGGAAATAGGAATGACCACTATATTTGTGTAAAGAATTGTATTAGTGTGGTGAAATCTACTGTGTACTGTATATATTCAAGACATTTTAAATTTAGAATTTAGCTTAAATTCAACTTCCATATTAAAGGGGAAAAGGAAAGATTAAAAAATAAGAACAAAGTTATGAAAATGGCTTCTTAAAACTATGCCAGCTTTCACAAAGATTTGGTGTCCTCCCAAAGTATAAGATTAACATACTCTTTCTACTTGCTTATACAACTATATATATGCATGTGTATATATAAATTTCCAAATCTATTCTGAAAGAAATGCAAATCTTTCTATATTTACCACAGTGAGCAAATTGAGAATACAAGATATTCTTCCAGAAGATGTTATCTGCCAAGCATATGTATTTGCCAGGTTTCTGACAGTTTTGTCGTGGAGACATTGCATGTCTAATTAGAACAATAATTCTGGAATGAACTAAATATCAGAAGTCCCAGAGCATTTAGCCTTCGAAAATTTAAAAAAAAGTGTGTTGTTTTTGTAAAGCCAATTATGTAAGAATCAAGGACAGGAAATTTCTAACTACAATACAGTAAATAGGCCTTGATTTTCATATAGCAAAAACTATTCCTGATAACTAGCCCAGGCAGTTCAGCTTCCCGGTTTAAAACAAAGCACCCTTTGAGAGGGTGTTACTAAACTTTTAGGGAAACAGTTTGAAAGAGGAAACAAGCTAAGGAGCTGTTTTCCAAATATTCCTTCCAGTTGTGTATGTATTCTACGTAAGCTGTACACTCAAAATCTCAAATGTATTGTCTAACACATTTGCTACTGAAGTCCACAGAAATATGCCTTTTCTGTTCTTTCCGTTTTGCTAGTGTGGTCACTTGGCGCATTATGTTATCACCAAACTGAGGAGTGGGTTTATTAATAGGATTAGCGGGAGATAGTGTGAATGTAATATAAATGTGAAGGCAGATTTTCAGTTACCTCAATTCAGTATCCTGTATCTATTTAGTACTGTTCTCTTATTTTTAGATGAAAAGCACAATTTCTAAAATGACAGAAATTACTTGGAAACCAAACTTTTTAGATCATTGAATCATAAAATGCAATGATTCAAAATGATTATATCTACTTCAATCTCTTGCCCAATGCAGGAATCCAATACTAGAAGCCCTTTTTCTTAATCCCCAATATGTTAACTGTGTTTCATCTAGACGTTGTAGGAGTTTTTTTAAGGAAGAGATTATCTTTCTTTCTTCAGCAAAGCATCTGTAACTCAAAAGTTTGTAATTTAGTTTTAACAAGTTTACTTTACTCTTACTAATTGGCACTTTGAATATAATTGATTATACAGTGACATCCTACTGTAACAGACTAATTGGAAGGATTGTTTATTAAAGAAAATCTATTGAATCTAAGAGTAGGACATTGTAGATATGTAGTCATTTGTATGATGACCTAATTACAGAAATGGCACAAATTACATCATTTGTGTAATTTACAGTTCATATAATATGCACATGATGTGATTTGCATCATATACATCACACAAATGGCATAAATCGCTGTCCAAATTTGATCTGCTGTATACAAAAAAAATCATTGTATCAAACTCTAGTAAAATAAGCTTTTGCTATATTTTAGTGTTTGGGGTTTAAAAAATGGTATGTTCTCTGAGTTAACATTATATCTATTCTTCCTTTGTAGGAATCAGAGAACAGCACCTCTTCCCTGTGATGGACAGCCAAAAGAAATGTCTCAGGCTCCAGTGCTTATTTCCTGTGCTGACCAGTGAAGCTCTACCCTTTTGTAAAACATTGTGCTTTACCTAATATTCTAGCCTTGTCTTTACCAATGGATGGTAGTCAGTCCGCATGATGGAGGAACTCATAGACTGAAAATGAGTGGTTCATGTTCAGTGTGGCACAGATTTCACTTGTAGCTTGGGCCAGGTCCCTTTAGCTTGAGCCTAAAATGTACTATGAGACTGATATTATTTCTCTGTTATGGAACAGAAATGAAATATCCTGGAGCTTTGCTTTCTAGTGAACATTTTTAAAGTGGTAAATTCACAGTTACATGGAGAAGGCAAACTTTACTGTAGCTCATACAGCACCTGTTCTGTCAAAAGTAATTCATATGAAGTCTAGCTAATTTAAATAAAAATACAGAGAAAAAGGAAAAAAGGAAAGAAAGAAAGAAAGAAAGAAAGAAAGAAAGAAAGAAAGAAAGAAAGAAAGAAAGAAAGAGAACTTATACACTGCACTAGTTACTAGATAATCTTAGTCCTTTTTACATGAACATTTAAGTTCTCGGATGGTTTATATAATAGGTTATGCCTACATTTATATTTAAGAGTGAATTTAAGAACCTGTTTGTAGACTCCAAGAACGCATGGGAGGTGTACCATTGTTTGAGGTCTATGTGCGGCCATATGGCCAAGAAGTTCTGCACTTTTCTGAATTTGCCACCAGGGTGATAGAATTTTTGGCAAAATAAATATTGACAGGCTTTATTGTGCTTTTTTTTTTTAAATTAAGCATAGAATAATGAAGATTTACATTTAAAGCAAAGGTCCAGCATACCTATAAGAGCAATGCTTATGGATTACTGGTTTGAATTTCAAGCCTTGAAAATTTCATTTATTTTTGGACAGAAATTCAGAATGAATAAGTTTAAAGCAGTGAAATGGAGAAAATACTATTAATATATTGTTCAGAAGTGACCTTAGTACTACTTCACTCTTTTGGGGAAAAGTCTTTTCCATTGACATATACACTGATGAATATATTTTACATTTTATGGACACTGGAATTGTCATAAATACTATGCACAGTCTGAATTGGCTTCATCAGTTTATGAAGTGCCAGTGGTAGTTTGGGATGGCGAAGTGCTGAGTATAATATATAAGTAGAAGATGATTGAGGAATAATGTTACAGAATTTAGGCCATCAAACAGACGATTTTTCAATTTGTGTTGTCTTTAGTCTGTGTTGCATCCTTTTCCCATCTCTACATCTCTTGCCAGAGCAGGTTCTAGCGTTTATATAATTAAAACTTTATGTTATTTCTTAATTACTTTATATACACCAGTTTCCTGTTGTTCAACACAACATGCAGCATCATCTATTCAGATTCTTTTTAAAAAGACACTCTAAATCGGCTGCATGATATAAAATAATTGATAGGTGGTACTTTAGTTTTTGTCCAAGGCCCCAACTACAGTAATTCTGCTGTAACATCAAGCAGGGGAATTTGGCACCTGTGCACACAGTTTTCCATCTGTCTAGGGATGCACAAATGGAAGTCTCCTTCCACATGTATACAGCCCTGACTGGATCAGGGCAACAATACTCCTAGCAGCAACATTTTATTTTTCATCAGAATTTGACAGGAAATTAACACATTAATGCAGGGTACTTCTTTCACAGCACAAGAAATTTCCCTATTTTGATTTGCATCATAGCACAAAGATTTAACCAAATGCTATTGATCAGACCCCAGCAATAATTTTCTATGAGTCTTGTCTCTGGTGGAATTTTGTGGTAGTGTTTAGTTCAGTGAGATCCTTTTATATTAATTAGGTCTCTCTATGAGCATTTACACAGTATTATCAGGCCTCCTTCATTTGTATGTGACAAAATTATTAGAGAATATGGAGTTTTATTGGGTTTTTTTTGTAATTGGATTTAACAGCCATATGAAAGGTGACTCTTAAAACTTGCTTGGCTTAGCCTTTTATTATTCTAATCAGTGCATGTCTTTTCAGGGTCTGAATCAGAAACAACAAGCAGATCATATACTTTGTAATAATTGATGATAGCAAAAATTGTCACTTCGGCCTATGTAAAAAAATCAAAACTCATTCAAAGTTATAGATATTGAATAGGAGAATAAAAACACAGTTTCAACAGGCATGAGAAAATAAAAACTTGTTAGAAAATTCAGGTAGAAGAAACTTCCACATGCTGCTGTAACATGTGGAGCTATTTTAATAGTTCAATTTTGTTAACATTTTCTAAATTATTTTAACAAAATAGAATGCTGCCATCATGCCATACTGTTGAGCATATATTGTGGTAGCTAAAGGAATATATGACCATGTACTAGCTATGGCTCAAATATGTTAGTAGCTGAAATCCAAATATCCTATGGTGCAGCCTGTTCATCTTTACAGTGGTACTAACATACACATTCTATTGAATCCATTAGAATAGCTGCATTTTGCAAAAGTACATCATTCTGTATTCCATTTTAAATTTCAATATTGTTCCTAAAATATTTCTTTGTATGAATGGTACCTTTATAAAGAATGCGGAAAAGTAGCTTTTTCTAAGTAAATTAATAACTTGATTACCTTTCTTTCCAAAACTTTGTTGACTATCCCTTAGACAAGGGATTGAATATGGGTCAATTTACTGAATATGAGTGTTTTCTGATGCTAATAAACTTTTCTGTAGATATGCTTAATTTTTAAGCGATTAGGCACCAAGAGTAGCAGAAATCCTGCAAAGCTTTATAGTTCATGAGGAGCACAGCCCACTTGGAAGATTCTCTGCAGAATCCTCATTGGAATGTAGATATTGCCCAGCTTCCATTCATTCCAGTGGAAATTCTGCAGGAGAATAGCCAGATAAATTGTGCCCTGTGGTTTGTTTCTTTTGTTGTTGTTGAATGACGTCTTAATTTTAGAGACTTGCTGCATTTATTAGAATGGGGATCCCTGATTTCAGAAAGAAAGAACATTTGTTAGCACAAAAAATGTGAAACCAACAATGTATTGTTAAATTACTTTAGTTTTTATTGATTTGTGTGTTTTTTAAGAAATTTCATTTCTATGATACGTATTTTCATATACCAGCAATGTCACTATCAAACTTATGTCCATGAATTCATTTTGAGCAAGAAATGTTGCACCTTAACTATTTCAAAAAACCAAAATATTATGTTCTCTATTGCTTATTCCAGTATGTTGTATTATAGTTTATCAAACCCATTCTAATTTAGCAAAGTTATCAGTATTTATGCATTTAACAATATCCTCTAGGTCTGAACCTGTATATGTCTTTTTTCTTTTACAAACAAAATTTAAATAAGATAAACAACATATTCTACTCCCCTTTGTGGTCTTTTTCTGAAGATGAGATATTTTCTAAATATAAAATTTAGCACTGCCCAATTTTCTTTTGGTAGTTTATTTATTTAGTGATTTTTGAGTTCACATGCTTCTGAGATATACACATAGTATCTGATATTGCAAGCATAGATTCAGCTGGGAGGATACTGTAATGTCATTTTCATGTAATTGTGTTAGTACTGTATTAGAGGGTGGGATGGGAAATGAGTTCTGCAAAGTATTTAATATGTGCATTAGATTTTGATTCTCCTGTTAGGGTGTTTTCCAGATTCAAGACCAAAACTAATGTAAAATCTTGTGGAGCTTATATCATGCTGTTGTACTTATGACAGTATTTTTTTCTGGATTGTACTGTGATACCAGAAATAGGATATATTTATTTACAAAGATATAGTGTGCTTTTTACTAATACAATATCTGAAAGTTACAAGCAAAGGAGTTCTTTTTTTTTCTCACCTGCAATTCAATCTGTGTCATACAAAGCAAACTAAAATATTGTGAATTTCACTATTTTTTCCTAGATAACCTCTGTTGCATAAATGTAGCTGCTAATCACTTATCATTTGTGGACTCTACATGTTCACTTACAAACTCAGAAGAGTTGTCTAGTGATATCACAAAGATAACATAGATGGGATGAGTGACATCTAATATATAAAAAGAGATGTACTGCTGAGGAACATTTCAGTCAGCTTTTAAAATGCATATACAGTCATTGCAACTTTATCTCCATATACAGACATACAAGAGTATTAGTTCTCATAGTGCTCAGTACTTCCCAGTAGGGGAAGTAACAATATTTATTGAATTTATATATAAGGAAGGATGAGAATATCTGCATTCCTTCTACAATATCTGGTTTCAAGATGAGGCCAGAAGTGCACAACATTCACATAGATAGGCTTGGAATAATCCATTTGCACGGTAACCGCTACTGAAGATCTGGAGATATTGGCAGAGTGAGAATAAAAATATAGCATGATGTCTAGAGTGAGGAACCGTGCAATAACTTACTTTTGCAGATTATACCCCAAAAACCCTGGTTGTTCCCTGAATAATGACTACAAAACTCAAAAATTGAGTTCTTGTAGACAATTATCACTTGATTCTCAGTGATACGTGTTTTTCAGTCATCAGTGGGATTGGAAAAGCTCTAATCCTTAGTACAAAGCTTGGAATACTTTTTGTTTTCCAAGATTGATTCAGTGATTATATAAAATGTATGCTGAAAGAAACAGTTATGTGATGAGAGTTAATCAAAGCATAAGAAAAGGGCATTAACATCACATGATTTTACTGGGGGGGGTGGCTTTTCTTTTTGAAGGAAAAATGTAGTAAAATTTATAATGATAATTGAGTTTGCCTTGTACCAATGTATATTTATGCCTCTCAGCTGCACTGTATTCTACAACTAATTCTGATGCTACCTCTATTAAAACTACTTCAATTGATTTCAGTTATTTTCACGATTCCACATGAAGTCTTTTCAAGTTAATAGATGGCTATTTGGATCGCACGGAAATGCAGCAGTTTTCAGCAATGTAAATCTTTATGACCCACAATAATCCTCTCATTGTAATATCCATATGGCAGGTATCATAATTTTATATTATCACTAGCTTTTGGTTTACATTTTAAATCCAAAATGTAAACATATATACATATAAATATATTGAAAGTTCTGGACAGTTTTGTTTTTTACATACTACTCCTAAAATTTAAACACACAAAACAAGACACATGCATTTTTTTCAAAAAACATTTGTCATTGTACTATATAGTTTTCTTCTCATGGAAAACTGGGCCAGTTCATTGATACACAGCATTTTATAAATATGAAATTAAATTAGGTTTTTTGATGTGCTGTGTCTACAATATATAAAATACATTCCATGAGAACAATTCTCCCATTCTCTTATAAGTGATAATTCTAACATACGTAGTATAAAATGTGTTATAGTAGATGCTTTTCTGTATTATTAAATTATAACATTCAATAATCCATTTTTTGAAAAGCAATATTTGTCACATACAAAAAATATTTCATACATGTACAATAAGTACCCAATGCTGAAATCTTCTATTGTTTATTTCCCCATTTCTTTCTCAAGCATTTCTGCCCCTGATCTTGCAATAACTAAAATGCTTTGATTCAGTAATATAGATGATTAATTACAACATAATAGGTTGTGATCTTTTGAATAAAAATATATAACCACAATAGTTCACAATGGACTGTCAGCTATAGTGGTTATATATTTGTCAAATATAAATTAATAGCTTTTCATCCTATTCCAAGGAATCGTTTCCCTGTGAATATCTAAATTGTGTTTTAGTATCAGGTAGCCCTTGCCAACTTACCTGTCTTGGAAGGTCAGATCTTTCATTTCAAATAATCGGTCGCAGGTCCTATTTTCCAAATAAAGATTTTAAATGTTCCATATGTGGAGCTATTTTACATTTTTATAATATAATTTGTATTTACTTTTATTTGTAAACTAAAACTGGGCATTATCTGTTTTATTAAAGAATTGTACTACACAGTCTGTTTAAACTGCCTGTAGGTAATCTCTGCAGTCTAAAACATTTAAATCTTTTACTCCGAGATTATTTAGAGACGTGTACATGCCCTATTTAAAATGTGAATAGTTGTATTTTTACAAAATATCAATGGTGTATAGCGGGTTTGTGAAAGGAGCTATCTGCAATTATGTGAGAAAGTCTAATCTTCCATAATGAATGGGTGTAATCTTTGCTTAATAGGATTATCAGTCTGCTGGATATATATCACATTTGCCATAGCTTTCTGTTTGTTTGTTCTCTCAGTCTGTGTGCCTGAAAAGAATTCCAATAGATCCTTTTCCATACTTGGATTATTTATGTATGTATTTACTTTAAAAAAGAAAAGCTTTGATACAAAATGAAAAAATGCCTCAAATGTTCAGTTGTGTTAAATCTTCATAGTTTTGTGTCATGCAGAAAAACTATAAATCTAATTCATATTTCATTTGATACCTAGGTATATTAGAGATAAATATTCTAGAGATTATAATTCATTAAATATTTTTAAAGCAAATTCAAATATATTAACATGTATCTTCAGAATATATTCAATTTATGACTCTTGAAGACAGTGTAATTAAAAAAATTTTCTTTTTATTAATTCAAAGCATTTTAATTAAAAACATTTTTTTCTGAAATATACTCATGGATAAATCCTGTTTCACAGGAAAAAGGTGTTATAAAAATTGTATTTTTTTAAAAAGAAGTGGAATGTTTGATCAAGAAGCAATGTAATGAGTTATTATAAACATAAACACCGTAGTCTTTATTTAAATGTCAGCTGACAAGCCTTGCTTTTTCCAATGTCTCTTAGAAAAATTGCCCCTGGCCTTATTCAAATGAACTTCCTGCCCTTTACTGTCTACCAAACCTCATGGCATTATCATGGAATCCTAGGTTTTGCAGAACAAAGTTTCAAAAATCCTGGTATACAATTTATAGTTATATTGCTGCTTACATATGGCACCAAATCATTCCTAAACACTTTTTTCTTACTTCAGATACCCCATACTTAGAAAATATGCATGAATATTTATTTACATTTCATATTTCTAAACTATCCATCAACCTGAAAGAAGGACCTGGATGGCACGCAGTAAATCATAAATATATAACAGTGTATTAAAAATTAAAATAGTAAACTTCAAATTTAAATTAAAATGTTTTAAAATTTATATTTTTTTAAGTTATAAAAAAAATTAAGGAGGTAATAAGATAACCCTGTAAAATGTTGGTTAACAGCTCAGAGGGAGAGCTTTCATGGACTAATGCCATGACTGCCCACTCCTTTGGGCTCCCCACACAAGGCTGCAGAGCCATGTTTTAACTCCTTTTTGCAAGGCTAGGAGTGCAGGTGCCTGTCTCATTTCTGAGGGAAGAATATTCCATAGGGCAGGGGCAATGGCAGAGAAGGCTCTCTTTGACCCCGCCTGTCAAAATTCTTTAACTGATACAGTCTGCAACATATCTTCTCTGCCTGGCCAGGTGGGATGGACTGATGTAATGAGATGAAGCCCATTCCCTATATAGCCTGGCCCTGTGCTGTGTCGGGCTTTGTAGATCAGAACTAACACCTAAAACTGGACTGATACTCAATGCAGCTTGCAGAGCAAATGTGTTGCCCTTCTTTGGGCAACCAATGTAGCTCACATGGTTGCACTTTGGACCAGCTGAAGTTTCCGGACAATTTTCAAGGGTAGCCCCCTGTAGAGTTCATTGCAGTAATCCAAACTGGAGATGACCAAACGGAAAGCCTCTCTCCAGGAAAGGGTGCAAAATACTAATATTACAACTCAGCAATTAATTTTACCATATTTTCCCATCTGATCAGCATTCAGCCAAAAGCAATAGTATAAATCAGAAAAGAAGAAAAAAATCCTACTACTGCTTTTCTAGAATTCACATGTACTGCATTCTCTCAGGGAATGACAATGATACAATAATTATGCTGCTAATGAAATGCGTCAGAACACCTTACCTTTTCCAGCCTGGCAGCCTCCAGATGGATACTTTGGAATTGCCTCTAAAAATCTCCAGCCATCATCATCAAATTCTAACTTTGCTCTAGGGCACAATGTTAAATAAAGTACCTTGGAGCATTGCTACTCTGCTTCTTTTGTAAGAATTCCTGCAGCAAATTGGATCATATGCTGCCAAGGTTTTAGTTACCTCTATTACTAAATGTTATAGTTTTTTTAAAAAAAAAAACACGCTTCTTTTTGTACCAAGTAAACACATTAAGTTCAATAATAGATTTCATATTAACTTGAAAAAGAATTAGTTGTTTGAAAATAAACGAGAAGACAGACTTGTTATGCAAGACATACTGTGCTAAGTGTGGCTAGTGGGACACCCTTTCCTACCATCCATGAGTTAAACACTTAGTTTGGGTAGCAGAGTGGAGAGTACAAAGTCTTTAACCTTTTGCTGTCTTCCAGTATCCCGGTCAAGTTAGGGAACAGACATGCAGATTATTTGGATTTTGATCCTGATCAGTTTTTCTTGCTTATATTTTAGTAAAAGGCTGCTAGTTACGTCTTTAAAATAACATATAATTTGGCTCTTTGTTTAGATGTGTGGGTGGGAAATTGCAATGTACATTTACTCATCCACATAACTTGAAAAAGAAAAATACAGCTGGATAAAGAAATATACAGAACTTTGGACCCAAGATAGTCACCAAAATCTTTGAACCAGAAAATGGGACCATATTTAGCATCAAAAGGGCTTTAAATAAATTCTATTCTGTTATGTTTTGGATGTTTTCAGTTGGGAAGAAAAAGAGAGGATACTTTCCTTAATATTTACTAATATGTAATTATACTTATTTTAAAATTATCCTAATGCAAGGAAAATTTACTCATCAAAAGTATGAACATGTTGACATTTATCATTAACAAGTGTTTCATTTTGACTTGAGTGTGTGTATTTATTTTTATAGCTAGTGAACTGACCTAGCATATGAGAACTATCAACAATTCTGTTCAATCTATTGTGTGAAGGCAACAATTACTCTGTAAATCAGTAGTGTGAAACCTGCAGTACATTAGCATGAAATGCTCCTAAAAACAGGACTTGTGTTAATGCTGAATCTGATTTTTTGCTCTTTAACATACATATTTATAAACAAATGCTATTAAAATTAACTTATTGTTAGACTGTTAGAACATAATACAAAGTGAGAAACAAATATACATCCATGCAGATGAATAGATACATTTAGAAAAATCAGCACAATGCCTGCTTTAAACAAATTAAGAATACGTGATTCCTTCCTACTTGGTGCCAACTATGAGGAAAAGAAGGAAATATATATTCTAAATTAGTGATGGCAAACCTTTTGGGTTTGGCATGTTAAATATTTGGAAAATGCTTAACTTGATTCTGTTGGCATGTCACTCCCCCTCTGAACATATGAGAAACAATTCTTTACATATTCTTTACATATTCATTTACTTTAAAATATATAGCCCAATCATGTGTGAAGCTATATATAAATAAATGTCAAATAATTAAAAAAATGAAATATGAGTAAAGCAAACTAATTTTTGGAGCGTTCACAGGCTGCGAAAGAGCACACCCCATTCTTGTGTAGCCTCAAGAAATCATGCTTTTGAAAATAGTTATTGAGGATATTGGTGAATGGTGGCATCACCAAAAACATTGTGGCATGTCACCTTTGACCCATATGTCATAAGTTCACCATCAATGTGCTGACTCCACTCATTTTCACAGTACCATATAAAATGCCTAGTAACATCTTTCCCAAGCAAATCTTTACTTGCAAGACCTACATATTCCACTAAATGAAGTGAGAGGTTAGAGAGCAAAGTATACTTACAGGTTACAGGTAGTCCTTGACTTACAACGACAAACTGAGCCCAGAATTTATATTGCTAAGTGAGAAATTTTGCTCCATTTTACGACTATTCTTGCCACATTTGTTAAATGAATCACTGCAGTTGTTAAATTAGTAACACCGTTGTTAAGTGAATCTGGCTTCTCCATTGACTTTGCTTGTCAGAAGGTTGCAAAATATGATTACATGACTCTGGGGCACTGCAGACATCATAAATGTGAACCGGTTGTCAAGTATCCGAATGTAAATCACATGATCATGAAGATGCTACGACAGTCGTAAGTGTGAAGAATGGTCATAAGTCATTTTTTTCAGTGTTATTATAACTTTGAATGGTCACTAAATGAACTGTTGTAAGTTGAGGACTGCCTATACTTCTGTGGTCTACAGGACAGAGCTTAGTCTCAAGGATTCTTGAATCAATATGTAATTGAAAAAATAATAAGTTACCATTTTTTTCTACTTCACAAAGTACATGCTAATAGTCCCCCCTAGTCAGTTTTGAATCAGAGCCTTTTTTTCCTTTTAGAATGCCCTCTGATTTTCTCTTTGTTACGTAACTTTTAAAATTCTTCCTTAGTCCAGCTTTTCTTTCTTTCCTTACC